CGTCTGAAGCACCGAACTCGTCACAAGAAAATTAAGCTCTACTTGCCAGGGCACTTGGAAGCGGGGACAGAATATTTCTGAAGATAAATAGCTGCTAAACACGCTCCCTAACGAGCAAACTTTTGGCCTCAAGGGACAGCAAACTAGACGTTCAGCAAACTTGTTCTAGTATTTATTAATTATTTTCATGCCCAAGGCTCATTTAATAGGTGTTCACATGTAACTGACCCAAGCTATTCAACCTGAGTACTGAGTTTCAACAGAACATAATTCATCAATTTATCTCAACTTGTCGCAGGCTTTCAGTTCCATATAGTATAGTATCTTCGGCATTGAAGAATAGGCCTGGATAGGCCTGTCGCCGATTCTTGTGCTTTTCTTGACTAGACTGGCCTTTTGATCAAAACTTTTCAACTGACGGTAGATTTAAAATCGCTTCTAGATATCAGTGGCTCCGTAGGATACGAGACATTTCAAGACTAAACATATGCTCCTGCACGGCCTTGTCTAGTCTGTTCTTGAACGCGTTCATACTCGGAGCGTCAACAATATCTTCAGGGAGGCTGTTCCACATGTCGGTGATTCGAAGCGAGAAGAAATGTTGTCGCATGGATAAGTTGCCCCGCAGTTTTTTTTAGTTTATAGCAGTGGCCCCTGGTGTTGGTTATTGTTTCAAATATTCTAGTAATCCTTCTGGGACCTTGTACAAACCATGAGTATATTTGTATACTTCAGTGAGGTCACCACGCAGGCGATGATAACGGAGACTGGAAAGCTTCATAATCTTCAATCTTTCTTCATAAGACGCCCTTTAAGCCTGGAATATCAAAACACTCTTTTCGTATTTTCTAAATATGAAAAACTGCTTGCATTTTCATTCTGCAACTGGTTTCGTATTTTCTAAAAATGAACCCTATTGTTCAGCCATTCAAAATGTTATCACTTTAAAGTGTTAAATTAAATAAACAAAAAAGTGTCCTTAACACTAAAGTTTTCATAACAATCTATGAACAACTGCTCCGTGCGGCCAACAACCGAACCAACGCAGCAGCTGGCTCTGACTCTGATGGCAGAATGGCTTTGTGCAATTTTGACAAAATTGGGGAGGCGTGAGTGAAATATTTACAGACTACACTTGCTAACGACCTGCTGGATTGAAGGTCCAATCAAACGGGTACGGATTTTACGACATGAAATCGTGCAGCAGGACTTCAGGGTTGATGCCGAGCGAACGTGAGAGACGATCAATATTGGGATTTACAAGTGCTGATATATCCTTATTTATTCCATCGTCTAAATAAAGTTTTACTTGTATTCTTCAAAATAAAATTGCAATGCGCCTCATTTCCTCTCGGCTTGTGTTGCGTGGTTTCATTATTGAGCGAATTAATCGCAGTAGCAAAGACATATGATCAGTTCAGGACAGTGTGCCGCCAGTACAGTATATGAAAGGGAGGTTAAAGGTATGAATATATTCTTCACATATTTACATAGGAAAGAATTTACCTAATTTCCTTTAGTTCATATATATTGATTAATCAAGTAAACTCTCCATTCCTTTAAACCTCGTACGCATCATTAGGAGCTCTCCTTTTAGAAATTTGTACTTAAAATTTGAAAAAAAAATTCCAGTCAAATTTTTGTGTTTTTCAGATATGTAAAGTTGCAACTGTTCTGTTTTACGCCCGCGTTTCGATATATCATTTCCATTAGGTAAAATTCTTTGCACGTCAAAATCTCACAACATCGAGCAAGATAGAAAAAAGTACGTTTCTTGCTCAAACAATAGATTTTTTTAAAAAAGCCTCTAAGTTTTCCACGGCAAAATAATCGATCGTGATTATCGCTGCGCATTTTTAGCCTTGAGAGGCGATCCCGCTTGATGTTTCAGGCGGAAGCGCGCGATTCATTAATCAGGGCAGCAATTTAACTTTGGTCGTTATGACACTGGGCCGAAGTAAAGAAATATCATAGCGAGCCCTCAAGTTCGCGGCAAGAAGATCCGCAGGAATGTTTAGGTAAAGAACATCCAAAATAGGCGAGAACAGAATCACAAAGAAGAACAATATTGGTGATGGTTTAAAAAATACAAAAACGTTGTTTTGAGATTTGTAGAATGACACGTCAAAAGGATATATTAAATTCAGTGGACTGCATGATCGAACTGAAGAGTAATATTAGCAGGGACCACATATAAACTGATAGACAAATCTACCTTACGATAAATGAAATTGTAATTTAATTTTACGTGAACATAAAAATGCAATCTGCAAGAGAATTTGATGCAAGATCGCGTAGTGAAAGACCATCAAAACCCGTTGAGTCTGGACCTACAAAATGATCTCTCTAAAACTTCTGTAATATTTACATTTTGGTATGCCATTTCAGCTGAAGCGAAATCATTCCGTGCTATGGGACATAAGCTCAACTAGACGTAGTCATATTACCCTCGTGTTCTTTGATGTGTCTGCTCTCGTTTAGCAGAGGAACTGTACCTCTCGTCGCAAGAAGACGTAATAAATTATTACACAGATTATAATTGATGGATACTCAAGCTTTGGTACTTTAATGAATTTCTCAGTCGAAGTCGAACACAGTCGCCGGCTTCATCATGGAATGCTTTCAGCAAGCATCAGTTAATATTTATGCGCACTCTGAGTGAGAAATAATAAAAAGTAGGTATAGAAATTAATGGAAGTTGAACATGTTTGGAAAACAGATCGGTGATGTTCACTCAATTTCTAGCCAAATTTGCTCAGAGTTAAAAAACGATTTAACCGAATTCAAAAAGTGTTATACGAGTAAATGTCATTTAGAAAGGTGGAACTGAAGGTTATAAAGAGGGATAAAACTTATGTTCCGTTGAAAGTTTTTTAAAAATTCGTTCCGTTGAAAGAATAGTATATAACCAATTGGTAAAACTAAGAGAGGGAATAAATATTTTGAAAATTGGAGTTTCTAAAATATGTAACAAGATGAGCCTAAGAGTGCTTGTTCCTTATAATGTGTTTCATAAAACAGGGGAAAGCACAGATGCTTTACTCAAAGTCCTAAACTAATCATGACATGACGCTAAGCCATACAACTATTAAAAAATTACGAGCATTCTCAATTCATGAAAGTTTAATGCTTAAACACTACGTACGCTTTACAGACTGAAAAAATGAATAAAACGGCGCGAAATTTCATGTCAAGGTAAAGCCTGCACAAACAAATCTAGCTCGGGAGGTTATCAGGCCATTAAAAAAGCTGGCACGCTGCAGTCCTGGTGAACATCAAATGTGAATTGCCTCCTGAGGCCATTTGACCAGCGACAAAACTGCTTCTTTTCACGACTTGTGATAATTAGAGACGCTGCCTGAAGCTAGTGCCAATTTGCACGTCCGGACGACGGGCGTTGCTTTGCCACGGGCTGTTCCTGAACTTGCTTTTCTGTCTTCTTAAACTCATTAGAGCTCCACTAATTGCATCGACTTCCATTAATAAATTGCAATAACTAAGTAGAAATGCTCCTTTTATAAACCTAACCAGGAAAATGAATTAAATTACTTATTACGTCTGCAACTCTGATAAGCTGCTGTGACATCTTTAATAACATTGCAAAATATTTGGCAAATGTTGTGCAGCGAAGAATTTTGCATTCTCAAACTCAATTAAACTTCATAAATTTTGTGTGTAATTTTCAACAATGGTATTCTTTTGCATAATATTTCATCTTCAACCCAGAAGAAAAGAGCTCTTTGAAGGAGAAACAAATGTATGAGATTCAAAATATGTTTTAAAATAGTTCCTGCTCTGTTGATGAAGCTACGCAGGAAATCTCCATATATATAAAGTGCTGTAACACATAGCACGGGAAAATTTTTGCAATCTAAGAAAGATTTAAAAATTTTCTGATATTGAAATATTTTCGGATTATGAACAAACTCCTGGGAAAGCAAAAGGGGGAATGCGCAGCGCTCTCATTAGCACCGTTGCAGGGATCGCTTTAATGGGAAGCCCTGAGAACTTCATTTCCGAGCTCCTGTCATCTAATTAGGTGGCCGGGATTGTTTCGTCGAGTTGAATTACATCAACGAAGCCATCAAAAAGTGCTACACAGTCACTGCCGAGGCGTATTTGCCGCCGTGAAATTGGCATGAAATGTGCTTATTTTTCAAATTCTGTATGAATCGTTTACTACAGGTTTTTTAATATTTATTAGAAGAGCGCGTTTCTGTTTTAGTTTCTAGACACTGAGCTCGTACAGACACGTCGCGTTGTTACATAGAAATGTTTCAACATTGAGATACAAGGGCGACTTATCTGTCGGGACCATTTCAAAATTTCAAAACAATTCAATAAAAACTTTTCATTTTATGTAAAATACAAAAAATATATATAACTTGACTGAATATATAAGTAGCTCATATGAAGTGTGCGATGATAGCTTAAACTCCAGAGTTAAGGTGAAAGCTTAAAGTGATGCTGAAATACAACTCTTTACATACAAATGTTGTTTCAATACTAAATGTATTCCATGAGACTGACGGCTGCTTAACAATTAATTTAAAGTTTTGAAGGGTAATGACAGATTCTGAATGAAAAATAGTTTATAGTTCTGTAAAATAACTAACGTAACAACTCCTCCGGAAAAATTTCTAAGTGATGAAAATGCGCCAGATAAATTTTCTACAGCTGTCGTATAACATATAATCTTGTAATCAATAAACTCGGTGATAATTTAATTCGATATATTGGTAATAATTATTTACAAGAGTTTAATGATTCAAGGGTAAAATATTTGATAGACATATTTTTTGTTGTTTTGTTGAGCGGAATGGCCGCGGTTTTTCAATGTCATTCAATATATTTATTTATAGAGTGAATGATAAATGTCTTCTAGATGTATTGCTCGCATTAAATTTCCTGATTGGCTAGCCGCACTATATATTAATACGCACTCATTAAACATTCAAGATAAAAATAACCTGGGTAATGCGTGTAAGAAATTTCATTTAATATAATTCACTGACTATAACGGTTGTGTTTGAATAATATTGTATTTTAAAAGCAATGCAAGAGTTGTTATAGCTGTCGGCGCTGATAGAACTATCGCCACACGTGACCATAGGCCAATACGAATCAATTACTTAACCTGCTAGTGTTCTAAGGGAAATCAATCGAATGCATAAAATTAATACTTGGAATTTCACTTAAAAATAACGTATAATGGGAAGATTTTAACTGGAAATGGAATAAGCGAATAGGTGCATAAAAAAATATATCCACAATAAGACATGAGAATACTTTTCTTCCAAGCAGTGCCATGAGCTAGCAGGCGAACCGCTTGGAAGAAATCATTAGACAAACCCACACGATATGCTACGAACAGACGAACCGTTACGATGAGGTACTTGGCCTTAGCCAGACCAATAATCTAGGATCAAACGAACCAAGAGAACCGTTACGATACGACAAAAGTCCACAGTCAAACCAATTCTATGATCAAACGAACCTGGAGAACCATTACGATACGACAAAAGTCTGCGAGCAGGCCACTTATACGATCAAATGAACCTGAAGAACCGTTACGAAAAGACAAATGTCTGCAAGCAGGCCAATTACACGATCAAACGAACCAAACGAACCGTCGCGAAATGATGCACTGCCACGACCAATCGCTGCAGGTCAGACAAACCAGAAGAACCATCACGCTTCGTCTCGTTTATTCGATTTTTCCTATGAGTCGCAATCTAATGAAGATTAATTAGAAGAAGACCAATCGTCAGGACGAGACGACGAACCGTTACGGGCATCAAAATGACGCATAACGACGCGGGTATCAAATGATCGGCATAATTGCCTGATGTCTAGTTTTGAATTAAAGATGAATAGACAATAATATAACATGAAGATAATTGACTGTTCATTGCAATGCAAGAAAATCTCATACTATAATCCCTAGCTTATGACGTCATTGGAAATTAAATGCTACCAATTATTTATTCATACGACAAAATAAAGGATTGTCTGATTATCATATTGAGCTGTTGTTTGAGACTTGGGAAGCTAAACCGAAGTTAGACCGCTCACTATATTGCATCCTGACTTCAAAACTTTGTGAGCATAAAGATCGAAAGAACGAAGAATAACCGTGATTAGAAAAGTTTATGTTGCAAGATGAATTATATATATAACAAAAATAGAAACTCATTCTGCTTCAATAGAGATCTTTTGTGTTGCTAATTCAACCAATTTCTATTTATCTCAGTGACGGAGGAAAAGCTTTAAGAAAATCATATCTATCTAGTGACAGACTTATCATTTACACATCACTACTGATTGAAAGTCGCAATTCTCATGTAGGTCCGTTTGACTCCTGAGGATTAGCAGAGGGATTAATGTGGGTGCATTGCTTATTTACGGGTGAACTATTGACAATTTTAATTGACACTGAATTCATTTCATTCAAATCCGGTTTCGCAGAGGAAGTGTTTGCACCAAAAGACGCAGTGGGGGCTGAAGAGCAGCTACTGTTGCTGCTGGTATCACTCGCGTTGTTCGGGCGCTGCTGGGCTGAAACTTTCGTGTTGCGATGTCCTCGCAAGGTTGATGAAGGCGAGGATGAAGCATTCGATGATGTAGACGATGAACATCTAAAAGCTGATAAAGGAGGGGAACGCAAATGAGAAGGGGAATATTTACCAGCGCCTGAGGAATGTTTTTCTACGGGCTTTGAGTTGGAGGAATTTTTTTCGGTGTCAGAGTCGTTGTGTACGATGTTATTAGCGTATATAATAGAATTCGATCCACTGCTGTGATTGCCAACGCTGCTCACATTACTGTCCTCGTCAAACTCGTCATCATCGTCATCATCAAGTCTTGGGTCATGAAAAGTTTTAGTTTCTGCTATAGGTTCATGAAAAGTAACCCTCGGCTCACTGGGTTTCGTTGTGTGTGGACTGCCGTGAGTGGGGAAAGGCTGGCAGGCCGACCGGTTCATCCGTAGACTTGAATCACTAAATTGATTCATTACTTTGGAATTGTTATCTCGACTCAGTCTTGTTTTGTCAATATTTTCAGCGGAATTTTGGTTGATGAGATATTTTGATACGTTGTCGTAGTCAGAACATGGCGTGTCGATACCGTGGCAGTATTGGTTACTGTTCGGCTGTTCATGATGGCCGCCGCCGTCAACACTAAAACTGCGCATCAAAACCCGGGATCCTGCCATGCCTATTGAAGGAACTGGACTTCTCTGGCCTTCAATCCCGTGCAGTTGAACGTCAGGAAAAGCTTGCACTGCTCTCATATTGTTGCCGTCTCGCTGACTCATCGCCTGGCTCTGGTGATTGCCTCTTTTTAAAGTCGTGAAATGGCTCGGAGATTCGCTTTGCCGAGGCCTTGGACCCTGGCTTCCGTAGTGAGCAAACTGACCTGTAAAACATTCGCCAGAAATTTGTAGCCTAATTTTGTTTTCTTCTGACTTCGTTAGTCTAGTAAATTCAAATCTAAACTGAAAATAGTCTAAAAAACTACATCTAACTCGAAATATGTGTGAGGTAATATTCGTTTACACATTTTTCGATACGGAGTAAATATGAATATCTTCACATTATTTCAAAGTAATAAAAGCGATACATTCAGTTTTCTCTCATACACAAATTTGTTTGAATTCGGTAAAAAAATTGTATTTTAATTTACCTCCTTGACAGCATCGAGAATCTTGGGTATCAGACGTGTAGCCACACAAGTCAGCTGGATTCAGAGCCGAAAACATTGAATAAGACTTTTCGGTATAGCTGCATCGTGAAATCGTATTCATCCTTGTTTGGTTGGGATCATGTGTATTTTTGTCGTAATTAGAAGGTAGCAAAGTTTTTATTTGCAGATCCGTCCTGACGTTGCCGGAATGAATGGCTTCGTTAGGAGAGTCTCCTTTGTATGATTCCAGTCGTTCATTGTCAGTGGGTCTCCCGATAGAGCTACGATCACTGCTGAGCATAGGGTCTATTGTAGGACCGTGTGGTGCATGTAACTGATGCACATGGTGATGATGGGGAAAATGATCGCGGCCAAAGTTGGAATGACACGCAGGATGAAAATGATCACAAGGATCTGCAGAAGGTATGATTTTCTGATGGCAATGCATGTGGTGCCGAGGATGCATTTGCATCATGCGTGAATTAGAGTGCACCAAGTCGAGTAGATCTAAATTATCCTCAGGTAGACTCGAAGGCTGATGTGGTATAAATGTATTCCTGCTAAAACCTAAGGGATGATGATGTTGTATCATTGATCTATTCGATTCAGAAGTTTCAATACTCGGTTTAGGCCGAGAATGTAGGCTGGAAAATACTTGTGCTTCAGTCAAATTATTATTCCTTCTCACGTGAGGACAATGCACGGGGTAGCTGTGCCACGACGATATGGAAATTTGATCCTCCCCACGACAAGGCGATCGGCCCTCGCAACAACTTCCAGCAAGGGAACAAATTTCTGGTCCGAGCTCATTATTTTCACACGACTTATTTGGATCCAAAGTTGAGAAACAAGTGCTTATTTCATTAGTTTGGCATGTCGTGGGTCTTAATATTTGGGTGTTATCACACCCTTTTAGTTCATCTGGACTTGTAGAGAGGTTATCAGGAACTTGTAAGTCCATGATATCATCGTTGTTTTTGAAGTTGTTGGAGTTTGATAATGAAGGAGACCTAATCCTGCCCGGCGACAGAAGGATTGGTTGGGCCAAGGAGCTAGTCAGCTCCTCATCTTCAAAATGATTACCCTGGGGGAAAGAGAAGCCAAACAATTACCATAATGAAATTCAGTGGAAGGCACCGGTCTCGGAGCTTCCAGATTAAGTTTACTCCTTGTAATAATTTGATAATAAATAGCAATTTCGTGAATTCATCCCAACAACATAAGAAACTGCAAAAAATAAGTGTGGTTGAATTTACTGATCTACAACTTTGTTTAGCTCCATGAACTAAATTATCAATTGAAATTTCAGTAAAATGAAACATGAAAAAATTGATAACGCCGAACGATTTTTTCATCGAAACATTCATCCCATTAAAAGAATAACAGTCTGCATGTACCACCGAAACAAATTTTTACTCCACACATTCGCTAAATCTAAAAATTTGGCTAAAACAATTGTGCTAGAATACAGATGAGTGAGGAAAATTGAGCTAAAAGAGCTCGAGTTCTCGCAAATCACATCAGCACTACACACCGAGCCGCGCGTCGGGAGCGGCGTGGGCGCCAGCAGCTCGTGTTGACCGTCACCGTCGCTGCCAGGCGTGCCGGGGTACAGGGCGATGCCCGTCGTCTTGCTGCTCGACGCTACCGTTGCGAGTGAATCATTTCAACTTTATTCAATGATTCGAAATTTTTTATAAAATAAAAGAGTCCAAAAACTGTACATTATCTTCGCACAATTCGTTTTACGATATTTTACTAGCAAATGTAAATTTAAAATTATTTTGTAAAACAGCTAGTTTCAATTCTTAACCTAGTCATGAATTAATTTACCTTGATTTGTTGGTTACATTTGGTTTGCTATAACCAATTAATTCTCTCCCTAGTGTAAATTCATTCACTCAAATCTTCATTCTCTTCTCAGTCTAAATTTATCCACCCCACCCTTAATCCTTTCTCAAGTTCAAATTCAACCGCTAACAAATTATTCTCATTCCAGTCTAAATCTTCTCTTCTTCTTTCTCTTTCGTGGTCCTTGATCCTTTCCCTAGTTTAAAGTCAACCACTCCCTAGTCGAAACTAAGGATTCTATTATCTAAACTAGGGATCATCTCCCTAGTCTAAGCTAGGGATGCTAGCATCTAAACTAGGGATGCTAGAATCTAAACTAGGGATGCTAGAATCTAAACTAGGGATGCTAGAATCTAAACTAGGGATGCTAGAATCTAAACTAGGTATCATCCCGCTAGTCTAAGCTAGGGAGACTAGGGAGAAACCCTCTCTCAACTGTCCGCCTCACCAGACAGGGAGTTTGCCCGAGCTCTGCGCCTCAAGAAGCACGCTATGATGGCCAGGTTGAGGGCGAGCAGCGTCCCGCCCGTCACGATCAGGATGAGCAGCAGCAGCCGTGGGGTCTTCCAGCCTACCAGGCCCTGACTGTCCGTGTCTATACAGAACATCATTAGTGTTGAAATAACGAGATTAAATGTGCATAGGGTAGCATGGCTTGTATAAAATTGTATTTAGTTTTAACTTTATTTACATATTGCCAACAATACCTCTATTCAGCAATGCCTTTGAATAAGCTATTTGGAATTGGAGGTAACCGTGTGTCAGTCTTTTCAGATAAAAAGTTCTCGTAATACAATAAAACGAAACTTTCATACCAGGCATTTTGAAAGCAATAGGTGGCGTGGGCTTGGAGGTTCCCTGCTCGTTTGCGGCCGCCACGACGAAGCTGTACGTGACCCCAGCCTGCAGCCCCGACAATCGCGCCCACGTCGACGATCCGGGGGCGATCTCAACCACCTGCAGATACCGAATTCAATACACTGCATGATATGATATCACTACCTGGATGTTCTGATCTCCACCTCTGTAGTTTTTCTCGCCGCTGGAGTCGGGAAGGAAATTTTTTTAACATCGGGAATGGCAGCTAATTCTAGATGATACGATCTCTACCGTATTATTTTTACTTGCGAGTGTGGCGTGAAAATTACAAAAGGCAAAAAGTAGTAATGACAGTGAAAATTTGTGAATCACCTTTATGGGTAATTGCAACTCGGAAATATACTTAAAATTAAAGCCTTACTTTAATATTTTTATGATATAGTTACCTGATGCTTGCCGGTAAGCTCAGATCTGTACTGAAGAATGTATCCCACTTCACTGTTGTACGCCTGGCTAGCAGCTGCTGCGTCGACCGAGGTGCGTGATTGCTCCACGTATTCTGCGTCTGGCACGAGAGTTCCTACGACTTCGGCGCTTTTGTCCACGTCGCTCTTCTTTCTCTCAGAAGAATCGCGCGATTCGTCAACACCATTGACAAACGCGTTGCGATAAGCAGCAGGATGATTAGATCGGCCTGGGTTCCAAGCCAGCACAATTGAGTCGTTTGTTACGTTGACAACCTAAGTAGAGAGATGTTTAAATGATAGCGGGCGGTTAGTGTTGATTTATGTTTGTGCTGCAACGGATATTCTAATATTTTAGCGGACCAATCAAGAATCATATATGCAAGGAATATTTTTCGATTTTCTGAGGCACTGAAGTTGTATTACCGAGATTTTCTACTTCGTGAAGAAAATACGTATGTTTGGGAACAGCCGTAAAGCTATCGAGAACAGCAATGATTTCCGTAATTGATGAAATGCATTCCTAATTTTACCTGATGTTCGTAAACTGCATCAAGTCGATATTTAATTTCATATTCATTAAACCTATCGTAGTGTACAAAAGCTGTACATATGCAGCCTGCCAATTTCATTGCACGTGTTAGCTTCAAACTTAAAATTTCATGTTGTCTTGTAATCTGGAAACAAGGAAAAAATATTCGAATTGTTTCTTAATTAGACTGCCTCAAACTTGATATATTATTTCCCAAAAATTTAACTTCGTTGCAAAGTTTGCTTTGCATGAAAGATTCTTCGCAAAAATTAGAGTTCGGTTCATGTACATAGAAACAACTACACGAAAAGAACGACGTACTTAAATATTGGGAGCAAATTCCGTAGACTGGATTGATCTAAAGTTCGTGTGTATATGCAGCTTCCGCGAAGTAATAAACGTTTGTTTTATTCAATTTACAAAAATATTCGATATTGGCTGCAACATCTGCAAAACTTTGATCATGCTCCGTGCATTTCACTCTGTAGTAGCAAGACTGACACTATAGGTTCAAGTTGCCACGGCAGGTGCACTTAGTTTGTTATGAATTTGTCAGCGTGGATGCTCGTAATTCCGTACAACTGATGGAGGCTTCCTCGTCAGCTCATGCAAATTCGAAATGCGAGTGAAAGCTTTCATCCGGAATGATATCAATTCCCTGTCGAGTTTTTGTCAAAATACTTGGCTCCTAATATGTTGGCAAATATTTATTCATAATAGCTTAGTACAGGCACAAAGAGTATGTTGTTTAAAAATTTTTCCGTTTGTAGAAGTGTTAAATGTTCCATCCTGTAATTTTTAACAGATCTAAATTTTTGTGCCGATATATTGGGCGATATTATTTTTTTCCGATATTAAAGATTAATGCTATGAATAAAGAAGCTTGTCGCCTTATGGAAACATTATATCACATCTATTTGCCTTATGAGTTTCAGAAAGATCGTCATTTATCAGGAACAATTTTCAAAAATGGATATGAAGTTTGACAGTTCTTTTTGACCACCTTAAAATGAATAAATATTTAGCCATAATAGGCATTATTTACTCCAATGTAAATTGCGAGCTCGAGGCGGATAAAAATCGACCAACAATCTAAGCAAATCATAATCATTCATTGAAATTAACTGAAAGATTTTTCTCTTACAGAGAAACCTCTCTTGCCAATTTTGTGATGGAAATAAAAGAAGTAAATATATGAGTGCACAATTCGACCGACCATTGCTTAGAGGCATGACCGCTCCAAAAGAGATAGAGAAAATCAATGCAATAAATTCCGCGGCAAAATAAATAAATTTAAAAAATCAATGAAATAAAAATAAATTTATTTTTATTGAAATATTGTCAACATTTTCCAAATTCGAACCTTACCGTGATCAGTTTTAATAAAACCATCACGGTTAGAATATGAAGAATACCGAAATTACAATGAGATCACAGTGATTCCCTATAAATTTGGTAGATATGCTCTGATGTTTTGAGTCAATCTATAACTGATCGTAATTTTGATCAGCTACAGAAAAGAACTCACGGTAAGATTATAAGGAGTGGGTACCGGCATGGAAGAGTGCAGAGCGCACTGAGCTGTGCTGGCACCCAGAGAGTTGTTGGCCATTAATATAATCAATATAACAAATCACGTTTCTGATCAGCTACAGATCAGCTACAAGAACTCACGGTGAGATTATGAGGAGTGGGTGGTGGCATGGGAGGGTGCAGAGCGTACAGAGCTGTGCCGGCACCAAGAGAGTTGCGAGCCGTACACCTGTAGAGGCCGTAGTCCCGTACGGTCACACGACGAACCTCTAACCGGGACGACCATAGGATAAGGTCATCCTCCAGCTGTGAAAATAAATGATGGTTCTTTTATACAATATGTAATTAGTCTTGTTCACCCTGCCGCTTTTGAAAGGTATGTTGGCCGAGAATTTTATTTTATTTTTTATGAATATATTTTAATTATGTTAATCTGGAGTTGCTCGTGAGGCAAAGTGTGGTAAATATCAGGTTAACCCAGGTATAGTAAATATTTGCTTTTGTAGTATGAATCCATCGTGCTAAACCAGTTACAACCAAACTGGCACCAGTATTTATGGTGAACAGTACATAACATGCTATAAGCTTTCTCTCAATGATACTAAGCTTATATATGGAGGCCAAGGTAAGCTTCAAATTCACCAATAATTTTTAAAATATAAGAATAAATAAATCGGCAAGCAAATCCAGCAATACTGGGGGAAAATAATTTCTGAGATGCGACAAATATATCGGTATATATCACATAAATGACAAAAAATGAGTCGCCATTTGAACAGTGTTCTCAATTATCAGCGTCATGCCTACCATTCTAATTTATTATGCAAGAATATGATATGAAATAACAACGAGATTTTATATCTGAAGATGATTGTTAATAAGAATTACTCTTTGATGTTCAACAAGTCCTGATTAAGTTGGGCCGTAAAGTATGACCTGGACTTCAAAAAGAAGTGCAGGGCATAATTCAAAAATTCAAATTAACATTAGGATCCATAACAATGAACTCTTAGGGACGCAAGGCTTTGATCCTCCGTAAGAAAAAGCTAAGCGTATAATGTAGTAAATTTGTTTTTAGAAAACGAACGATGAGAATTATAAAAAGTGGCGTAAAACGTCAGAATAAAAATTGCAATAAGTTTGCAAAAAATGTGAACGATTTACTGGGATTGATATCTTTTTCTGTAGTTCGAACAGTTAGTTATAGCCTGAATAGAAAATTTATATATATAAAAATATATTAGTTAAGTGAATATGCAAGGAATTAAGCTCAACCTTTTTCTTTTTTTTATAAATTTTCGGTCGCATTGGTATTTTATCAATCAGATAGCTGAGAATAGCACATTGATCATTGAAAAAATTGAAATAGTATTTTACAAGTTGTGACTGAGAAATAATTTCAATTTGATTTCGTTCTGAGACTACTTCCAGTTTTTTTTAACCGGCAATGTTTCACGCGTCTTGCCGATCGCTTCTTTTAATCGCATCGCTTTCCTACTATCGGAAATATTTTGAACTAACGATGTAGTTGAACGCCTTGAAACAATTTCTCAGTATTTCTTCCTGTCAATTTTATTGACGGTTACTCAATTTTCAACTTGTACTCTGAGCACATGTCGACAAATCATCGATATTCCATCCTCTCTATCTTATGTCTAATTTATACGGATGGTTCATCCTATCTTCAGTCTTATAGACTTTATTGATGCTGCATTCTATCGTTTACCTAATATATATATATATATATATATATATATTTTAACCTAACTTTAATGTAGTGTATATCGATGACTCATCCTGTCCATCTTCTGTCTAATATATTTGAAAGCCTATCAAGAATCCTCGCTCATTGTTTGTGCCGGCACCTGCCTTCTGGTCCTTGTTGTCCTTTGACGCGAGTCTGAAGCAAGTGCCATACAATGGAGGCAAATTCACCCTCCGAAGTCTTATTGACGTAGAGAACTTGAGAATTTTCATGGACGTGATAAGGTCGAACTTAGACAATAGGTGAAAGGTCAGCTCCGGTGAAAAGATCATCTGCTTCAAATTTAGTGCCGGCGAGGAGGAAGCGAAAGCAAAAGAAACCGAGTCTCAAGTTTTATGTTCGTCTTTGATCTTTCGCAGACAAACGCAAGACGTGTTTTCTAATAATTTTTTAGAATAATAAAGATGTTAATTAAAGATACGGACGAATTACGACGTAAAACTTCCGTTTGCCTAACACTTAAAAGTCGATATAATGGACGCGTCTTTCAATCTACGCTTATCTAATAGATTATATCTGCTAAAACCGTCAACAAAATTTAAATATCATAAATGTTTAGTTTTTTTTTTAATTTTCGCCCTTTATTTGTTCGCTGTTTTGGTCATCGCAATGAATTTTGCCGAAAAAAACTCATTTACTTTAGCTCCAAGCAGTACTCACTTGGGTTGAATGCACGACATGTTTTTCAGAAGAGTTTAGTCGGTCCCCGTTCTCTGTAGCCCACACAAAAGTGGGCCGTGGGGCCGCCCTCGCGTAGCACGAGAGCAGCCCCAGCCCACCCAGGGGAGCCCACCCCCCCGACCCACCACCGGGTACCTCACTCCCCGCCACCATCTCCACAGCCTCTGCGAGCATGAGAATGGAACAAATGGGTTAAAAAGAAGTAAAAGTTAATTTATTGCAAATTACAGTGCATGCGAGAAATCAAAAATCACACATGATTACTAAATAAATTGATTAATTGATGTTGCATTCATTCAATGAAAAATTAGTTTACAATTTTTTTCAATTCAAGGGAGTAAAATAAACGAGACGATTGGATGAAATCAGTTGGAAACATAATGAATTAAACGACTTTAATGTGAGATTATAAAACATAAATTGTGAAAGAATGCCAGGATGAGAGGGCTAATTTATTGTATAGACAACTGAATTTCGAAGCCATGGATGTTCACTGAATTAGGGAAAGCTTACCAATTATATTAATAATATGATGGGGTTACGCTAATATAACGGAAATGGAGCTACAAGGATGCATCAATGAATTATTAAATCCAGTCATGAATTCTCAAAATCTGATTTTATTGAAGAATAAGAAGCTAACGAAAACTTTATATAAGAATCTTACGTGTTTGATTACCTACTTTAATGAATGATAAATGGAGTCTCCTAATGATATGCTTCCCGGCACAAACCAGGCACTGCAGTGCAGCCAAAAAACCGAAAGACTTGCAGCTTTTATATTAGCCAGAACAATCGTAATGGCACGGAGGCAATCCGAGCAAGCGAGCTAATCTTTTATTACGCTTGTTACAGCAGCCATGGTCAAGCGCAAGCAGAGAGAGCGCAATGCGTCCGGAATCCTAATGCCCGTCTCACTTAACAGTTGTCCATTCAACCCAGAGGCAGGCCAGAAAATCTGTATCTTAACATTGAGAACTTCATCCTTTTCATTTGTGCTTGTGTCATCCCATGCGTCGGTGCGTGCAGTTTGTAAATAACAGAAATTTAAATGACTCTGAGTATGCAACATTAAAGTTCCTTAGGGAACAAAAAACCATAAATTCCTTACGATCTCGTTTTCTCCGAAACATAAATGAAGGAACTGATACTATACATATAGATTATTGATAGATAATTAAATGCATATAAAAATGTGATGATGAAATAGTTGATTATTTGTGTCTAAAAAAGCTAATATTTTCTTCAGATGTGGCTTGGCACTTCAGAAGCGGCAGCGTCTGAAGAGCATTTCGTGTAGCAGACGATGATCCTCAGGCCTCTCGTCTTGTGCTCAAACTTCATGAATACTTTATGGACGAGCCATCGATCTCTGGCTCAGGTTTAGAAATTCTAAAATAAAATTGCATCTTTTCGCGGCGTCATCGTGAGCCTACGAGATAAATAATTAAATAATGAATGAATGAAGAGATGAAAAATGAATGAATGAATGCTTACCTATAGCAGATTTCTTTCCTGTGTCAATTAAATCTTGTTATAATAAATATTATTACAGTTGGACGTGAAAAAAACCTGGTTTAAGCGGAAAATTAATTTTTTTTTTGCTCCCAGTGATCCCTTAGCATGAGTTAATTATTCCATAAACGATGATTTCTTGACTGAAATCGTACGAATCTCATACTCGGAAATCGCGTCTCGAGTTAAGTGTCGTAACATCTTTCATTTTCTTGCTTCGTCGTGAATGGAAAAAAATAATGAAGCAAGTTTCATCACGAAAACGCCCAAAAAAACAAGAAGTAAACAATAAAGACGCCCACTTCAAACTAATACAATGGATCAAACATAATGAATTTTTACGCAGGAACAAAATCTAAAACAACGACGCTTGCTTTAGGTATAGCAGCTTTAGTGTTTAGCCGGTGGCATGCAGCTCCATTATAATTTAAATCCCTAAATGACGGAGATTTGCATATAATGAACACATTTATTTAAAGCTTAAGTTGAGAAATGTTCTATGTTAGTGAGTCGTCAGAATGATGGTTAGAAATCATTATTTGCTAGAAAATAATTTGTAAATTTCCATTCTCGTTAAAGTATGATTTCCTCAACAATGCAAATCGTGTTTAAATTTTAGTAATGAAAGAGAATTAAATGTTGTTGAGTGAGTTAATTGAACGTAAATTGTACAGCGTGGAAGTTTATCTCAGAGAGATCTTGTTTCTAGTATCGGTAGACGTAGAACTTTTTTCTTACTGACTGGTCTATCTCTTTTGTTATTTTAAACTTGTAACGTTATTTTCAATTGGAGATAATAACTACAAATTATCAGCTGACAAGCATCCAAAAAGGGGGTTTTCACTACATTGCCACGAGCGTCACACTTGCCAATAATTTTTACTCAACGATTCAATAAATAAATATTTCAAACATAAATTTTGGTGTGTCACCTTCAACTTACTGATAAATTGATATAATTGATTTATTAAGTGTAATTATCTCACGCGTGACGATGATGGCGGCAGCGACGGGAGGGGCGGCGCCGAGGGAGTTGTGTGCATGACAGAAGTAGAGGCCGGTGTGTTGACGCGCTGCTTCCTTCAGGACGAGTCGCGCCGAGCCTAAACCTTCTGAGAGCTTATCCTCCGTGTAGCTGCTGCTGCAACCGGAACAACCCCAGCAATTATTTTTAGCCCTTGTCGTAGCCATAATTTTACTACTTTATTATCGTACCGAACTTTAGTACGAGTTCAATAATATTGTACATATGCATATCGAAGAGGAGAGGATTAAATTAATGCATTGGCTTGAAGATCTCTAGATGTGAAAAGGGAAGTCATATGCTAACCAATATTAAACCTTCTCTGTAGACCACGTGAATTATCCAAAAGAATTAAAAATTCACGCACGGATTCCTTAAGTTTGCCGTGAATAACCGTATGAGACCTTCAAGTCCCGAAGAAGATTACTCTATTATTTTCATGTAAGTTAAAAACTCAGCCCTGTTTCTTCTTAAGAGTCCCTCGGACCGTAACCTGTTGTGCTGCGACCAGTACAGCTTCGGCTTAGGGTTCCCTCGCGCGGTGCACTCGACGTTCGCCACGCCGCCCTCCTTCACAGTTACGCGCTTTGTGACGTGCACTTCTTCAGGAGGATCTGGTTCAGGTACTTTTATCAGTATCCATCTTGACTCGCAAGTTCAAACAAGAATTTCAAAACGAACTAAAGAAAAAATCCAATGCAATTTATTATATCTTAATTGAAAACGGTTTGGAGACCAGCTCCAACAGTTAACAAATTTAGAGAATACAGATGCAATCAATAAAGTGCAATGGTTTTTCTTTCGTGAAAATTTGTTATTTCTCCCGATATGATAAATTTACCTGACATTTTTGCTCTGAAATTTTTGATGCGATTCAAACCATACAAGGGTTGCATTACAGCAAGCCTTCATTGCAACAAAAGTCATTCACTAAGTATAGATGTTCGTAAGGCTTTGTTCCCAGCGTTGAACGAAGAAGCAAAGTTTTATTTAATATGAGTAGCGTAATTAAGATGCGGTTTAATTCGCTGTTCACAAAATTTAAGATTTGACTGAATTTACACAGATTGTTGAAGATGAAGATGGTAATGATGATATTTAATGCAGAGAAAGAAAAATAAATAATACCGAAGAAACATTGCCGACGGTGCTTAGCAATTAAAAGTATTTACTTAAGTGTTCTCCGTGCTCTTACGGAGAATGTCAAGAAAAAAGGAGGTACTGATGGTATTTAATTACGTGTTCTTACAGAGAATGTCAAGGGCGAAGGAGGTACTGATGGTATTGATGATATTTAATCAAATGTTCTTACAGAGAATGTCGAGTGTGAAGGAGGTATTGATGGTATTTAATTACGCATTCTTACAGAGAATGTCGAGGGTGAAGGAGGTATTGATGGTGCCCTTGGGGCTGGTCGCAGAGACGGTGTAGGTGCCGGCCTCTTCCCGAGATATCCTAGAAATGTGCAGCTCTGGCCCGCTCTCTGACACCAGACGGCCGAAATGTTCCCAGCGGTATCTACAGTGTAGGAAATTCCTTACGGTCAATTGGCATTAAAATTACATTGTTAATTTATAAATGATGCTCATGACAGTTCAATGGTGCAGATTTTAATTTAAATTGTAGATTATGTGCAAATAATTTTAAATTATATAAAATTAAAGTTATATTATGCCCAAACTGTTAATTTCAATGTTTTTGGCTAATTACCATTTTAACACGTTGACTCCGACTGCTTCATCTTGTACTATTAATTCATTTTTTGTGCTATTTTGAAAATTATGCAGCATTACATTCTGAAGAAACACATTTCGTGGTACTTACTATATGTACCACTTCGGAGTCATCGCGTTAATATTAGTTAAGTAATGATTTCAGCAATAAAAAAAATTTCCCAATCGTTTGGTATTCATTCAAGAGTGTAAAAAATGTGAAATAAAGACCTAATTATCTAATTAATTTAAAATTCAATAAAAAGTAATTTTCGTTCTTTATATTAATTCATTTTGGAACGAATTAGTTACTACGCAGGCACGGGTAAGATTGTCGAATTTCTCACTCTGTTTACAAATCAGCTTTGACTTGACCTTGCGAAGAAATTCGTTGTACATTTTCATTCTGATATCTGATTCCACTACAGGAGTACGTGGTTCAATTAATCGATTTTCTGTGTTTTTCATACCCGTGCTGATTTAAGTGGTCGTGAAAACTCTCAATTTTGATTATTCTTTATTTATATTATGCAATCCATGATATATTTTGCTTTAATAGTTTATTAATAACACTAATTCTAAAAGTATGTATATGTTTGCAGTTTCCGAATGATTTCTATTTACAATTTTGCTGCCGTCATACGACAATTCCATAACATTCTCTAAGCAATCAAATGCTAACGGACACATATTTTATAGAAGAAGGATGGGTTGAAACTATGCTTGTGAAATACATTAAGCCTCGTTCAAACATCAAGGGAAGAGTGATCCTTTGTTTTTAATTTCATTGGAATACGTAACACAGAGTCGGACAGACCAATTTTGTGTTTTGATCTGCCTCGTACTTGGGTCTTAAAGGCAAAAAATTCGTTACGCAGAGTTGCCGTGAGCGTTCTGTTTGAAAAGTTTTAGCAAAAGAATTTGCATAGCATCTCTTTGATGGGTTTTCTTTTGGTTTGCCAACAATAACGTACAATTCTTGGAATCAGTCGAAGCCGCACACATTTATTATTAAATAATTTAGATTATAAAATAATATTTGGTTTGCAGTAAAAATCAATACATCAGACTAATTTGATTAAGTTTTGTAGATGGATTTTAAGATGGAAAATAGAAACCGATACAGAGACCGGTTCAAGCGCGTATTTGGAAAACATTGAACTTAACTTTGAACTTTGGACTTCATAGACAATATGTGACAGATAAGAACATCTGTTCAGGTGGAAAAAAGGTTTAGGCAAAGAAGTCATTCCTAGTCTTGAGCTCCGTAACTCTGACTGGCATTTCCATGACAAAAGAACTTGATCTGCATTCTTATTACACTTTCTCGATGTCGAGTGACAGCAATAATTTGCATAAATCTCCATAGTTCAAATTAGAAAAATTCCGTGAAATGCTACGGGAGGTTAAACTTCTTGAGATTGAGTTTAGCGCGCACGGTCTCAGCAAACGGTTATGGAGAAACTTCATTACATAGCGGGAAATAGTCTATTTTCGTTACGCATTCAGTTTGATAAAAAGTATTTATGTTTATCAGTTCATTCAAAAATAAATGGAATTTGAACCTAGAGAACTTGAGTTACGTCAGGGAAGTAGCTCTGTGGAACGAAAAAGTTATGGTTACAAATATTTGAATTAGATTTGTTATAGAAACGCTAATTTCCGGAAAAAGTAAGTCTGCAAGGGATTGAAGCCCATATTAAAACATATTAGTAAAAAAATTTATAAACATACAAGTATAGAATAATTGAATGCTGCCAAAATCTTATATTTTTACTTTGGATATAAATTATTATATGTTAATTTTTAATAATAAATGAATTATCAACATAAGAACGAGTTTTATAGAATTTTTGACCTTTAAATATCTCGAGACATCATAAAAGAATTCGTTCATTTTACTTTTGTCTGGACACTGTAGAGAGTGCGAATGAATAGTTCATTCTGTTACGTGAACATTTGCAACGAATAACTCGAAGAAGAAGTCGTTATTAAATAGAAAAAGGAAATATTGCGATGCCCACACCGTAGTTACTCAATTACTCAAGTTTGATTATAAATTTGGTAATTAATGTCTGTACGAATGGCGGTTTTTGCGTTAGATATCAGGCCTTCTTGCATAAGTTAAAATTTCACCTACCACTCTTTTCACCTACCGTAAATTTCTTCTGTTCTTTTCAAATTCACAAAAAATATTCACCAATTTCATGATAAACTATACAATCAGGGTTTCTTGCATTGATTTCGGTTATTACAGCTGACATGGCAGTGGCTTCACATGGAGCTGAAATTTTTAACATGAAATGACTAAAGAGAATTCAACGATAATTTATATTTATAAGTTAATTACGTCCGGTACATTGAGAAAATGCATTCAAATAAGTATGTTGCTACCACTCCGCACTGTTGCTACCACCCGAGTGTAAAAATCAAGGACAGTTCACATCAGCTAGGCCCTGCCCGGGAGCGACCTCATTGGAATAGCGTGCATCGCAGGTTGGCAAGTGCAGGCAGCTGTAGAGCAGCTGTAAAGCAGTTGTATGGCAGCTGTGGAGCAGCTGTAATGCAGCTGCAAGGCTGCTGTAGAGCAGCTGTACGTCAGCTGTTGTGCAGTAGTAAGGCAGCTCAGGCATTTGCCAGGCTCGCGCGAGTAACGTAGCGGCATTCAGTGCGTTAGAAGTCGCACCTTAATGGCGTGTACGAAGCAGAAATTTGCTCCGGTGAGTCGGTATTGCGGAGTAGATACGAGTATATATAGTACGTGGCATGCAACATGTGACCATTGATGCTTTCGTACCCACATGAAGAAGTTTGTGACAAATAATTGAGGTGTCCGTAGTAGTTATTTATTATGAATCGACGTACACAACAAATTTTAATAAATTAGATCATCAGTGGTAAGCTTCAAATAGGCAAACTGACAGTTAAAGAAGTCGTTCAAAGTGTGTCATATGCTAAACTTATGTGGAAAATGGGGTGTGAAAAAAGACTTGGTCTTTAAGAAACAGCCTTAGCGTTATAAATTAGGTTATTAGTGCGACTGCGTTCAACAGCCAAACGTGAACTTCAACGTAAAAAATCAGTTTATACGTCGTAAAAATATGACCATTGAAAATACGGAAAATACCTTTTAGACGCGACATACGTTGTTAAAACACACCATAAATGTTGCGTATTTTCAACAGCAAATTTCAACGTAATAAATAATCGAGGATCCTTGTTCTTACAATTAAAGATTTTTGTTACCGTATGAAACAAATGCGGAATTTTTTATATAAGGCTTCTACTTTCTGATGTTCTTGTTCCTTTTGGTAGTAAGGGCTGTTGAGGGTCCTAATCTGATTGTGGCTGGCTGCAGCATACGCTCAAATGCCAACCGCCAACAAAATGCGGCAATTCAGTTAGCCCAACTTCTCGCCTCTTTGAGGCGCTTCAAAAATTGTTTCAGGTCGAAAATGCATTGAAGGCCGCTCGTGTGAAGGGCTGCGTAGGCGGGTATAGTGCTGGATCCTATAAGGTGAGAGTGCATTCACAGCAAAATGACGCAAACATTTCGTGATGAAGTTTACAGTCCAAGTAGCAACGTGAATTTTCACAGGCAATGTGCAATTGGTTTGTAAATTTGCACATTTCCCACTAAACAATTAGAATTGCGCATCATGGGCGATGAGTGTTGATTGTTTTATCTTTAGATCGAGGATAGAAATTCGATTATTCCTTAATGTTACGTTACTCGGTGAATTTCAGGGGCTCGGTTTAGGTACTTTCAGAGAAGAACTTGGTGGAGAAATTTCCCACACCGGCCCAGAGTAGGCGTGACTGTTCGATTGCGGTGCAATTTCAAGAAAAAAGAATAATTTCATAAAAATTAATTAAATTTCACCTGACGGGTCCAGGGTTTGCCGCAGCTTCGGCCGTGACAAGAAGATCGTCTCCTTCGTGTACGTCCACCAGCTCGCTCGGCGACTCCCGCCACACTGGCGCATCTTCACGACAAATTCATCACAAATTAGCAAGGTAATGATGAATTACATTAACTTACCTAATGATAAATCGTGTGATGAATTAAAATTTTTGTGAAATGTAGCGATATCTCTCCGATTTGACGTCCTTCTATGTTATTATAAATGCAAATGACGGTAAAACTGTGATAGCTGATCTTGAGCAGAATTAATATCACGCTTATATCTGATAGCGATTAGAACAAATTATCAAAAAATTTGATTTCTTGGTCGTTATTTTGATGACAAATGTTAGTAGTAGCTTTTTTGGTTAGTAGTAGCTCTTTTGAGGATTACTTAATTTTCTGTCGATGTTTATTGAAAGAATCAGTTAGTAAAAAACATAATTCAAGTGAAATTGCAAATGATTAGAATCAATCATTTATTGCTTTAAAATACCATTAAGTTCATCACTGGAAAGACTGTATTCAATAGAAAGAAAGGCTTTTGTTTCCTGATGAAACATTGATAATTGTAACCCTCCTAAAATAAAGCCTTTTAATTATGTTTTGTATGCACAAATGCTTAATGGGTTTTTGAAGGCTAGTTAACATTTTTACTGCTGAAGAAACTTTAATGTATTTTTTCACAGAATAAATACACCCATCCCTCCAACAACGTGTTCCAGTTCAAGTTTGTTTTCCCTACCGCAGGCAACCTCACCAAGAGAACCTTCGTTTTTATTTGTTTGATATACAACAAAATTTCAATCGAAAGAAAATGACAAAACTGTGACTTGGAATATTTGGTCGCAATTCAACCACATATGTAAAGAATTCGAAGCGCTGTCACGCTGCATTCTCCTCTCGCACCCTTTTCAATTTGACCAACGGACTTTCCCCTCTCCAAGGGGATAAGGCACGGAACTTGAGCCCCCAAAGGGCGCCTAGGATCTGCAGGGCTTTCTCGACAGCCCCAGATTGTGATGAAGTGTTGCGGTTTGTGGACCTTGCCCAAGTTCCCAGTCTGGTCACGCTGGGCTTTAAACGAGCGCCACTTCCGCTTGAAACTCGGCGATATTTTAACACGCTAAAATTCTTCCCCAAAAAATACTCGCTTTAAAACTTGAAAAACATCTAAGAGTTTCTGGTAAATGAAACTGATAGGAGATAGCGAAAGGCTTCTTGCTTTCTTGCTCTAACCGAAAGGGAGAGAGGTATTCCATTGGTATTTAAAGAGAATCGAATCTTGTTATTATCTCAGACTTGTATACCATAATTATTTTGAACTACTATACAAGGATATTATTATTATTATTGCCCATACTAAGGCCCATTCTAAGGCATCGCACATACTAAGGCATCGTAACATTAGAATGAAAATAGCAGAATGACTGAACGCACTAACTGGATTATTTAACGTTTGTGAGTTACTCATTAAAATTACAGCACTCTAAAATTATTATACCGCAAATCTGATTAATTGATGAGACTAGAGTATTTATATAAATTAAAATTGAATTTATTTCAGTACTTTTTGTTATGAAATTGAAAATGTACATAAATAATTCTCAAGCTTTCTACTAGGCTACAGATAGTGTTTTTAAACTGAAGAACACAAATTTTGCTTAAGTTATGAACATCACTGCTTTCAACAAAGAATATCAATGTTCTCAAGTTAGTAAAATCAATATTTTCAACGGATGAACAGCAATTTTTTCGATCTATGAACATCCTGTTCTTAACAGATGAACATCTCTTATTTCCTACTAATGAACATCGATAGTTTGAACTGATTATCATTAATTCAACAAACCCAGCTGATCAATATTTTCTACCAATGAACATCAATATTTTTCAACTAACGCAAATCTTTCTCATACAAAAGCCCGTACCACGCTTTTCCCCAGAACGCACTTCAATCTTATTTTTAATTTAATTAAAATAATCTTATTTTAGCATTTTTTATCATAAATAAATTTCAATTTGAAAAAATTAAGCCACTAAATCAGTTTTAATAAATTTTAAAGTGATAAAATAATATTATATAATTAGCACTAACGTCTGACGCGCGTGGTGATGTTGACCGTAACGGGCGGAGTGACACCGTTGTCTGCAAGACACCCGAACACTTGTCCGTTGTCTGCCGCTTTGGTTTTTATGGTTACCTGCGACCTACACGGGAAAACAATTAATGTTTCAATTAGTTTGAGTAATGTATGAAAATTATGGATGTGTATTTGATACGTAACACTTCTTTCGGTAAAAAGAATAATCTCTAACCATTTTGAGTTTTAAACTATATTGTTTGTTCCAGTCGCTCATTTGCAAATCCAGTATCTAATATAGCAGTAATTTGGCTGATATTTATTGCTTCGAATACAGCCTTTGAATCCTTCACATAAATGATTTTTTAATTCTCCAATTATTTCTTCGTGCATTTGCAGAAAAATTACCAGTAAATAAGAGAACAAAGTCGTCCAACGCTCTACTGCCATTCATTGCACACGGTATTAATTCCAAGTGCAACAGAAGCAGAAAAAAATCTTACCCTGTAATTTTGCCACCATGTTCGCCGCTGGAGATTTTCTGCTTAGCGCCGTTCAAAAGACGGCCGCCCTTCGACCGCCAGGTGATGTTGGCGGGCGGGTTGCTGGAGGACGTCTCGCAGATGAGGGTTGTCTCCTGACCCTCATCAACCTCGATCGGCTCGGCCACCCCGCTGATGCGGGATGGGCTGACTGCAACCAACAAAAAGGATATCATAACAACAAATATAAGAGGCGTGAAATACGGGTACATTAATGCCTAGTTGAAAGACTTTAAAGACGGGAGGCATTAGATCCTTTCATGCATCACATGAAACGCGAGGATTATTATGATTGCAAAGTTGAAAAATGATGAATGTGAAGAGGAAGTTTAAGGCCTCTGAAAGTTGTAATAGCTTACTTATTTAGATCCGCAAAAATAACTGAGAGTAATTTTTGATTCGTTGGTAAAAATATTAATCAGTTGAAATTAGTTACTTATAGCTTCTAAAGATCTGGAAAGTTTCTCAATCGCAATCAAATTATTATAAGAAATTAAAAATTGTTTTGTACTTTTACACTCTTTCAATTCCTTGATAGAAACTTCACTCATCTTTGATTTATTAGATAATTTCTCAACTCGGCGCACCTTGTTTCTCACATGCAACAACAAAATTCTCATCGTAAATCTAAGATCCTAATTATGATGAAACGTGGAAAACTTCGTTACTAGATTCGTTACGGCCAACGCCTTGAGTTCAAACTTAATGACATATTCCATAAGTCTCCATGAAGATGAGGGCGGATGAAGAAATTATCTTGGAGCGTCCATTTTAATTATGAAACTGTTAGCTCATAACAGGCGGGTTGTTCTCCGAGGACTGTAATCACACGTCTTGGTCTTCTCGAGTAATAATTTTATTCGCTCAGCGATATGAGGGGAATGAGGGGAATTATTCTTAGGAACGAAAAAACAGAAGAATAGTCAGTGATAAAAATTTCCGTTCCAACGTAAAAGATTCAGCGGCAAAGAATTACGCAAATGATTGAGGTGACGGACCTTTTATATGATCAACGATTACGACAATATCGTTCAGATAAATGGCCTTATAAAATAATTTTAAAGTGAATCGAATCAAGTGTGGACTAGAATTTAACGTCGTGAATAAATTTGCGGGTATTTTTTTTGTATTCCACAGTGAAAGATTTTAATGGAAGTGGCAGATGAATAAAACAATTTAGCGCAATGTTCATCCAACCTTCGTACGAAAAAATTAATGAAAAGAAGCAATTTCAAGTTAATAATTTAAGCTCCGATTACAAATTGTCTTTTCTTTTGTCACCTTTCACACTAAGAGTGTTTACATTTATTTGTTGCTGCAAAAATTTAAATCTCAAGACATTCATTACTATTTTAATCTTAAACCATTCGAAACGATTTGCTTCATTATTTTCTGATCAAATTCGCATCAAAAGAAAAATTATGGTTAGCATTTGATCAGAATAGACGGTTTCGACCAAATTTCAATTCGGAAGATCATCAAGTCTGAATTTATTTCATGAAAATCAGTTATTCATTTTAAATACCTCAATATCAGATATACATAAAATGCAAACCCCTGAACTTTACCTACATACGCGATCACTCTGTGAATTTGTCTATGATTTAATAAAAATAGATGTAATTTTCACCTTGAATTTGGATGCGGAAGTTTGTAAATCTCTCAAATAAAAAGACGAAAGAAGACTATACCGTCAGAATATCAAGAAAAAACTCGAAGAAAATTCTGGCCAAACTTCGAGAAAAACACTAACTAGACAACTTCTGATTAAGTTTTCATTGTCCGAAACATTTAATTAGGAGGACTGACTTCTCCAATAAAGGCTGAGAGAACGCCCGACAAAATTCAATGAGGGGCCATACCTACGGTGAGTCTATTTAGTTTGTGGTCTAAAAACTCTAAATTGCCGCGAAAAAGTTTGTCTCCACAGAGATTCGGAAGAAAAAGCAACGATTCTATCGCATTAAAATCAAGCCATTACGAAGGTCCGGTTTTTGAAACCCTTAGAAATTAACGACAAAGGCATGTGAGAACAGTTTTTCATGAAGAATAATATATATTATAGGCTTAAATGAGCATCTGTTGAAGTGACTTGAATGAATTTTTTGAACAACCTTTATAAATTTAAACCATAATTATTTCATTTTTACACATTCTTTCGATTCCCTGACCTCATTCATGTTGCTTTTTTTAAATTGGAAAGCCGTACATTATTTCGGCCTATTTCAAAGAAATATTTGCAGGGCATTTCTGCTACTAATAAGAACTGACTTTTTGCTTGAGGATGTGCCAGGAAATCTTCTCTTCTAAGCCCCGAGCTCCAATCTGGGCCCGCGAACTCTCATGAATATTCGCAATATTATCCACCTGATATCGGGCTACTGTTTGCTTTCATGGAGCAGGAAAACATCGGGCCTGAAGGGAACCTGGTTCGAATATTGGGCTTCTGTATATATGGTTCTATGGAGCAGGCTAACATCGGGCTGAAAGGGAACTCGGCTCAGATATCGGGCTACTGTTTGGTTCCATGGAGCAGGAAAACATTGAGCTAAAAGGGAACTCTGCTGGGATATCGAGCAGCGGTTTAACTTCACTGGAGCAGAAAAACATCAGGCTCAGACTTGAGCTGGGCCCGGATATCGTGCTCCTGTTCGGTTCTATGGAGGCTTAAAAATTAGGGATAAATAGGGAGCTGAGCTTACGGAACACCTTTAGCGTTGGCTCTTGCCTTTTTTCTCGCTCCTACGTAGCGGTCATGGTTTCGGAGGTGATTGGTCTAGGAGCTACGTACCCTTACCTTAGAAATGTGGAATCTAAATTTTACAGCAAACTCTGCAAATTTATAACTCAATTGGGCCTCAATTTTCTCGCAACGTCCTCTTGCCGATTTCCCGCGATTTCGCCTACTTAGGAATGCATGAGATCTCGAATGCATCACCTTGTCTTACAGAGTAGATCCCAAGAACAGAAGTTTTAGTGTTTTTCGTTCTTCCATCCCTTTTCCGTCCCTAACATGGGATATTCACGTTATCAGAAATAAAAAAAATATGCAAAAGAGCATTCCCTTAAACAACTGAACTGTTTCCAAATTCCACCTCCAAATTTCCAGTTTCTTGCCGAACGTGTTAAGAAAATATTGTTTCGTAGTCCTCGCCAATCTGCAGTAATGTGAAACTGAGAATTTTTTGCTGAGTAGAATAGTCCCAATCAACCCCAAAAATAATAGAAGCTGGCCTAGTGTATGTAATTTTGTCTACCTATTGCCCCGATCTTTAATCAAATAAATAAAAAATTCGGCATTGAGTGTTTGAAATGCTAATGAAATTCCTCGCGAATTCACAAACGCTTCAGGTGCTATAAGCTTGGTATGAAATTATCACCGCCATTTTCAACGACACCTTATAAAATTAAGTTTTTTCTTGTTCAGTGAGCAGGATTAAAGTTGTTCGCTGAAGTGAAATTCGAGTTTAAATATTTTTGACTTTTTACACAGAAATACTTGCAGTCCAGGGTTGGTTTTGTGATCCCATGCACTTCGAAATCGATTATCTGGTGCCACTCATCAGGCGTACATGCATAAGACAGTAATAATTCCGATTCGAAGAATCGGAATTGATTCATCCAGAAGAACTATCTCTTCATTTAACATGACAACCAAAATAATCAGGTTACCTCTTCGCCTTCGCTCCATAACTTTCTGGCCTCTGGTGGTGAGGCCTTACTCTAGTGAATTTTAATCGAGCGATTTTAGGTTTAACCGATATTATCAAAACGAATTATCTTGTAGCGAATAGGCGTCAGTTGCAGCATGCAGTACCTACAATTAAATGCTCGATTGTACTTCAAATTCTATAAATAATAGAAGAAACTTACTTACTATGTAATCAGATTACGAAAAAATTTTTTCTTTTAATTTTAATTGAATGATGACAACGAGAAAGACAAATAATTATGATGGGCACTGACATGCGACGTCGAGTCTGGCGACGGCGGTCATTGCTTTAGAGAGCGCTGGTCCTGACACCTCACACAGCACCGCGGCGCCGTTGTCGGACGCCCGCGCCGTGACGCGCGCACGCGCCTCCGTCACACCGTTGCGGTGGATCAACTCTGATGTGATCTCCTGCCCGCTCACTGAAATCCTGTGACAATTGTGATAGTTATTAGGCTTTAAATATTTCTAGAGTGTCCATCTCACACTACAACATTGCGGCCATTGTGATAGTTAATGTTTTTTCATTATTCTCTAGAGCTTTCATCGTTTGCTGAAATCTTGTGGCAATGGTAATAGTTATTAGGCTTGCATTGTTTCTAAAGTGTCCATCTCACACTACAACCTTGCGGTCGTTGTGATAGTATTTTCTATACAATAGAATTCTATAACTGGCTCACTGAAACCATGCGGTCAAGGCAATAGTTAATGCATTATTCTCGAGAGCATTCATCGCTCACTGCAATCCTGTGGAAATCGTAGAAGATATTATGCGTGCATTATTTCTAGAAAGTTCATCACTCACTGAAATCCTGTGGAAATTGCAGCACTTATTATGCGTGCATTATTTCTAGAAAGTTCATCGCTCACTGAAATCCTGTGGAAATTGTAGCAGTTATTATGCGTGCATTATTTCTAGAAAGTTCATCGCTCCCTGAAATCCTGTGGAAATTGTAGCAGTTATTATGCACGCTTTATTTCTAGAGAGTTCATCGCTTGCACTGTAGCACAGCGGCAACTGTAGTAGTTAGTTACTATGAACTCAGTAAAGTGTCTGCGAACCAAAGTGTTCACTGTATTCTGTATCAATTCGTGAAACAATATTTATGGCAAACGATGAATTCACATGAATTATTGACGTGGAATTCAAAGTGAAGCTTATTGTTAAATTGAATTGCGAGTAATTTTTAGTAAATAAATAACTTTTAACAATTTATTCATTGTTCAATTTGCAAATTAAAGTCCCAAGTTTTTTTATAATAAAAAATTGCTTGAGATAGCAAAACAAATAGGATTCTAATTCATGTTCAAATTTGGCTTTAATCTTGCTGTGTCACAAATGTAATCGCTAGCCGAGGTACTGAACAAAAATTTCAAATGGTGTGATCGAAAAGAAAATTTTGATTAGGGATCGAAAAACAATTCGGCCACTCCCTAGCTGACATTTTGCAAGGGATGCTTCACGGGTCGAGCTGCATTAAATCATTATGCAGCAATCGCTGATCTGCATAATGGAGTTGCGTTGCTGCCTGGGATTTAACAAGCGTAATCCATTTGACTTCTGAAAAATACTCATTTTGGACATGTACTCCGATGCTCAAATGCTATTTATTGCTGCATTTGAGATAAAAAAACGGCTGGATACTTCATATTCTATATATTCTTTCTATAAAAATTCACATTCTTTATGTTTTAATATATAAATCCAGTTCTTCAAATGCCAAATATTAGGAGAAAAATTTACGATACTGGAATAAAATCTAATTTCATTCAATTCCATTCATTTTTCTAATAGATTTCTAATGAAATCTAATTTTGCAACATAGATGCTAACGGCCTGCAGATGGTAGGTATGATCATGATTATTTAATTCTATTATTATGACGACCATAATAACTCTTATTATGATCTTATGAGAGATTCTCGTGAAAGAAATATTTTCTTGTAAAGCCCACGAATAAGTTAGTAATATGTAGTCATGAATGAAGTATGTTTCGCTAAAGACGATACATTCAGACTTTCATAATGATATGATTATTTTATTTTTCAAATTTAATGCGCGAATGCAACGCATTCATGAGACGATGAATCCTTTGCCACCACAAAATTATCACACATAATTTTGTTAAAGAAAAAAGGCATGTCGGATGTAGCGAATTCATCCAACAAAATTCTTTATCAACATTATTATTAGAATCAGGATATATGACGTCATTACTATTGTTATATTTATCTTCAAATCATTCAATGTATTAATATTAATATCATAAGAATACTTAATTTCAATGTTATTAATATCAACAGGATATTTGAAGGTAATATTATTAATATAATCACGATATTACCTATAATATTAGTATCAGGATTGTAATTTTATTATTATCATCGGGATATTATTTATTTTTATATAATATCAGGATTTAATTCTATCATTATTATCAGGATAATACTTTTTGATAATATCAGCATTTAATTCTATCATTATTATCAGGATAATACTTTTTGATAATATCAGGATATTAATATTATGAGGATATTCGAGGGAGGATGACTCACACAATAGAGGGCGGAGGGTTGCCGCCGACGCTCGTACAGATCACAGGCACGATGGAGCCCTCAGGGACAGTCTGCTGCACCTCGCTGGCCAACAGCGGGGGACCGGGAGGCTCTGTAAAATATCCAAACAATATCTTTAGAATAATATAAAGTTTTTTTATATCACAGAATAACTAAATTGACGCAAACGAGGCAGTAGTTTATTTATGGGGATAGATGGAAAATGTTAATTCTGGGCAAAATGACGCATAGAAAATTATGAGCGAATTTTCCCGAATTTTCGGAATTTAAAAATAACAAGGACAAAAGGTCCGTCCGGATGCAGGCATTTCTTTATCTCATTCATGTGTTGCATTACTGCTTTGCTCAATGACTTGGACGAGCGACTATGATTTTGACGACTAAAACACTAGAATTTTTAAAGAAAATCCATACCGAAGATCCTATTGCGATAAAGTTTACGATTGGTTTGGCACAGGTAGAATCGCAGTTTAAAAACATATACTTTCGGAGAATTTTTTGAAAGGAGTCAACTTATTCCAGTGTGCTATAAAAGAAGGAGAATTGTTTCCTAGCTTCATGTCATTATTGTAGAAGAGCAGCAATAAATTACTTCCAGAAATTATACGTCCAGTAATACGAGTTTGCTCATCACGGGATAACATAATTCTTGTTTTCCTGGAACTTGTTCTGCTGAAGCAACGCGCGAATCGTCCACGTACTTTAATTTAGCCAATCAATAAAAAACTTTAGCAGCAATTCAAATGCCTCAAATTAAGTCTTTTATGATCTATTCAAAGGAGATTGGATGAGGTCTTCAGCGGCCCCTCAGCGGTTACAGGAAATGAAACTAACTGCTAGCCGCGGAAAGTCTAATTATTTCTCGCTCCGAGTTCAAAAGAATGAAGTTTCAATGCAAATTTTCTCGTTTTTCTTCAGGATACGGTCGATAGGAAAATTCCTTGTTAATTAAAAGCGTATTGTAGCTCCATTATAATTCGAGAGATTTTCTCATTTAGAAAATTTATTTGAATTTTAAGAACATTATACAAGTAAAAAGGATCACTTGCTGCCTGCCAAACCAAAACAAACAGTGATTTAAACAATAAAAGAATCAATTTTTTAACAAAAATCTTCTCATATCAATTAACTCAATGCAATAATTAATGATAATGATTGACAGTTACCAACAATGATGATGAGATTGGAAGAAAGTGAAATCTTCGTAGGAGGCAGTCACTATAACCATGGTGATGGTAGAGGAGGAATGCACTCATGCCCAGACATACAAATGATGGTGATGAGAAGTTGGGAAATGGGCTATGGGCTCTTTACCAGACTTACTGACGATGGTGACGAGATGGGAGTTGAAGGTGGACTGGGCCAGACTTACTGACGATGGTGACGAGATGGGAGTTGAAGGTGGACTGGACCAGACTTACTGACGATGGTGACGAGATGGGAGGTGAAGGTGGACTGGGCCAGACTTACTGACGATGGTGACGAGATGGGAGGTGAAGGTGGTCTTGTCGAGCTCTTTGCTGGCAGCGCTGCACTCGACGATCACTTCAGACAAGCCCAAGTGGCCGAGCTTGGCTTTGTTGAGCGGCAGTTGGGAGACCCAGCCTCCCTCAGGGCTCTTGGATATCTTAAGTTCTTCTTTCGAAGCCACTTCGTCACCTTCATGTTAAAATGAAATGTTTATTATTTTTCTAAGTTTTTTAAATTCAAAAATGTATAGTCAATTAAATTTTACTTACCACAATTCGCGAAAAATCGTTTTGTTGTAATCCACGCTGAATCTAAAGCATAACCATAAGCATGATGACACGTAAAATACAATACATTCTATAAAGAATAAACGGTAGATTTGCACCGAGCTGGAAAAAATCTTTCTTCTATTGTTTTGCCTTAGCACACATTGGACAGTTATATTTGTAAAAATATAGCAATATGTAAAGTAATTCTCAATTTTTTAATTATAATCCCATTTGAAGCAAATTCAACCACATTGATTATACTTATAATTTGAAACGGCTTAAAACATGTGGCCCGTTACTTTCTAAACTTTTGTCAAAATGCACATTATTTTTTACGAGCTAAAGTTGGCATTTAAACTTTAATATTATGCACTTCAATTTTAAAACTGTTTTCGGACTTGCAAATTAAGTCCAAAGAAATTCTGGAATATTTCAAGAAAATCCCTTCCTAAGAAATAAAATTCAAAAGCAACGTCATCAAAAATGTATGTCACATTAATTTTCTAATATGCAATGACTGCCAAGTCAAATAAAGGCTTCCGGCATGACTCTAGCAACTTGGTAAGGACATACGCCATATCTTTTGGTTATAGACCATCATTGAGAAAGTCAGTGGTGCAAGGCATACGATCCTAACTTGAGCCAAAGTCACTTGGTCATATCCAGTTGTTCGAATGGTCTCTTTGTCGATCCCTTCTGTTAGGTTCCGTCATCAGCTTCCTGATAACACAACTCGACTCTAGCAGAACTTTAGTCAGGAGCCAAGTTATGTTAGTTGTCGCTTGGGATCACAATACTGCTTCGATATTGCGCGTCGCTAACTTCAATATGTGACTGGAAACGAAACTTGTTCTCACTCTCAAGGCCTCGAGTCAAGCAAGATCTGCCAGTGATCGTACTCGACCTGAAGAGAAGGGTTATAGATGACAAATTTATGATGTTCCGTCACAATTACCCGTCACGCATTCCGTCACGTATTCACAGTTTTATTATCAACAGACCGTATAACTTTCCACAATAGCTAAGGTAAATGCATTAAAGCCGAATAATTTGGACTATGTTTACGCATCTAGTTCACTTTTTAGGCCGGTGCCCTAACCGCGATATCTCGAGCGGCAGTACCGCAAATAACGATAATAATAGGAGGAGTAAAATTTATAGTAAGAATTATGTTCGAACCATTACATTTTTGGTTTCAAAATGTCGAAAAAAAATGTTTTCTCTAATCACATTCTAGATTCTAGAATATCTTTTTTATAAGTAGCACATTGGCATGAAAAGAAAAGTCATATACTGATTAAAAGTTTGCCTTTTTAGCAGGGAAGCTCGCTCGGTTAGCGATAATATCAACGGTAGATTCAAGACACCAGAAATGACGGAAGTGGATGCGTAGAGTTCGAGTTTTGAATCGATTTCCAATATGAAGAGACCACACCGACCACCGCACTGAAAATGACGACGACTCGAATTGCCTCCTCGTCTGACGTTCTTCAAAAGGCAGAAATGGCTGCCATTATGGCAGTAGCGGAGTCATGATTTGCTAATGGGGCGTCTTTTCGTTATTAAAAATATTGGGTCCAATATTTGATCAAGCTTCAATCTTTCCGAAAGCGAAATTAATACTCATCTGTAATTAAATTTCCGAATTTTTTTATTCTGTGCAGCAGCGAATCAAAGTATTGTCGATAAGTTTCGGAGTAAAACGCATATATGTGCTTCTTTTGATTTCTCGTCAGAATTTAGTCGTGATATCTTCGCTATTTAGCGCATGTGTCTTGGTGGTGTACCTTGATTTTGCTTCAGATTTTTTATTGTCAATGATACAAACAGAAGTATACACCGCAGTTTTTAGGCTATGATGCTAACTAACCTAAAATCTTAACTCTTGATGAATTACTCATGCAATAATCTTTGTATTCACCATCTTTGTATTAGACTAGTTAATGCAAGAAAAACAAGCTCACTCAAATGTCATTGTCCGTAACCAGTCTACTAGAGAATTGCTCACTATTAACAGTCCACTTGACGTCCACTTACTATTAACATTCACTTGATTAACTCAACATTACCAGTCCACTTCAGTGCCACGCACCATTAACAGTCCACATGAGATTCACTCACCATTAACAGTCCACTTCAGTGCCACGGACCATTAACAGTCCACTTCAGTGCCACTCACCATTAACAGTCCACTTCCGTGCCACTCACCAATAAACGTCCACTTGCTTGTCACTCACCGTTAACAGTCCACATCAGTCTCACTCTCTATTAACACTCCACTTGATTGTCACTCACCATTAACAGTCCACTTCCGTGCCACTCACCATTAACAGTCCTCTTCCGTGCCATTCACCAATAAACGTCCACTTTATTGTCACTCACCATTAAAAGTCCACATCAGTGTCACTCTCTATTAACAGTCCACTTGATTGTCACTCACCATTAACAGTAAACTTCAGTGTCACTCACCATTAACACTCCACTTCCGTGCCACTCATCATTAAACGTCCACTTGATTGTCACTCACCATTAACAGTCCACATCAGTGCCACTCACCATTAACAGTCCACTTGAGGGCAACAGGGGGGTTGGCCGGGGAGCTCCGACAAACAAAGTCCACAGTTTGTTCCTCAGTGATGGACGACGGTCCGCTGATGTGGACGGAACGTGCGGGGTCTGTGACATAAAAAATAATCATATTCAGTCACAGGCTCATCTGCATAAATTGCCTGAAGCCACAGAATAAACTATCGACTAGTTAATTTATATATTTATATTGCGATCATTTGGTACAGTTAGGCAGAAGCAGTTCTCTAATGCATTATTTATGGAAGACCATAGAGTAATTCTTATCAATAATATTCTAATATTATTGTTTTTCGCAATTCGTGTAATTGGATTTTTCCTAACGAAGCCTACATTTAAAAACAAAACCTTCTTTATGTATTGCGTATAAATTCACCATGAGATAGAATAATCGTCTTTCCATCTTTGTTGCAAGTGCTCGGTTTATTTTTGGAAATTATTTGTGGAATGAAACAATATAGGAATTAAACATAAATTTTCTACCCCAAAATTTTTATATCTGCTACCGATGCATATTTCCAGCCCTGAATTATCGGAAGTTAGCTTCGAGAAAAGACTGAATGCACTAGAATCACAAGGCAAAAAGAGTTGCGAGATTTATAGGCGATGTGAACAGTTGAGGCATCTTATCTAAAACGCCTTCTATTGGCTCCATGAAGACGAATGAGATCCTCCTAACGGATATAACTTTCTGCTATAAAACTTCGCAACTTGAGCCTACGACGAAACAGTTTGTGAAGTCACGTTCAGATGCAGTGGCAAGTCGCTGCTCGCAATATGGCAGAAGCTGGTGCAGAATTATGGAACAGGTGCACAAGTTTCGAAAACAATAAAGTTTGCCCTCTAAGAGGATTGTGAAACATGAAATTAGGGAACGTTCTTGGCTCATTGCGATGAAATGCAGGAGTAAACTTCCAAATAAAAGTTGGCTAATTTGTTAGAGTGTATGTGTACCATTTTAGCATCAAAATTTTGTTCATTGGGCTTACACCAGAATTTGGTGTAGAGGCTACCATAAAAGAATTAGGGCCTCAAAGGGATGCGGTGGCTGCACAAAACTTGAAATAAATTCTGCTCTAAAACATTTGTAGGCTAATAAATTTCCAAATAAAATTTTTAATTCATCAACTAAATTTAGTATCGTACTTCTGATGCAATGAAGGATGGCGTGAAATGTTAAGCCTGATTTTAATGGTAAGAACAATTTTCAAATTGCGTACATCAATTTTAAATTGGAAACCTCAAATAGAGATCGGATGAAAAAGACATGTTTTCATTTCATCGTCCGCATTTTAAAGAGCTTGAATGTTTGATGCTTCTTAGAGAGCGTTTCGGGGCGTAAAATTTTTCAAATGGCGATCAGTTCTCAAAGAAATTCGAAAATGAATTTTCTGATGAATTATCGCCAGCGCAATATTTTGTTCTTATCTCTTGTTGAAAGAAGAGCAAGTTAATTATTCGTATTCCTCATATAAATTATTATGGTATGAATAATGCATAATTTATAATTAATCAATAATATTCTTACTCTATAATTCAATTTCATTTTTAAAATAATAATAAAATAATATACCTGACATTAATGACTTACACATGACGGAGAGCGTGACGTTGTCAGTCAACGGTTTATCGAGCATGTCACTGTTAGCGTGACACTCAACTGATGCCCCGTCGTCCTCTTCCTCCAACTCGAACTCAACCTCACTCTTGATTTTCCGTGTGAGGTGCCCAACGGGTAGCGGGGTTTTTGATGTTGGAACTCTGCAAAGTTATATTATGCGGGATTATGTTGTTATATAAAACAGGGTTTTTGTTTTCGGATATCTGAAAAGTTATGTTATTCATGATTAAGCTCATTAATTTAATTCATTAGGTTATTGATTAAAAACGCTGGCTTAATTTGCCTTGATCACTGGTATTCCAACCTGCTGGGAAAAAATCAATTTGTTTAGGATACAAATTGTTAAAAATACTATTCAAGAAGGTTTACTGTAGCAATGCTACGCAATATAATTTTGAATGGTTAGAATTCTCATTACTGTACAAACAAATCCTTTGTAATTGACTTTAATTGATTTAATTCAATAATTGATTGATTCGGTGACTTATCCATATGGACTAATAGAAGAGGTGGCTGCTTTGAAAATTTTAGACCAACGAAATACACTAAAATTTTCAATTAAAATTTATCTTCTTCGAAAAGTTTCTCTGTTATAGACAAGTAGATGGCAAGTGAACGAACAAATATATCCAGAACATATCGTATATTCATGGTTTATGTAGATTTTAATAATTCAAATGAACGCAAAAAAGTGCCACTGATCTAATGACTCCTTACATTATTTGTTTTTGAACAAAGCGAATCAAATTGACTGATGAGGTTGCGTTGTCAAATAATTCACTTTGCCTGTCCATGATATGATTTTTTCCAAATAAATTTAGACTCCATTTTTCTTTGTAAGAGCCATTCAAATTTTTTGTTCTCCCACCGAATGTTTTGGAGCTCCGAAGCCGAGATCCAAGTAACTTCCTCTAACAAGCGTAACAAACAAGCTTAACTTTGTCATATTGTAAGCCTTCAACTCGAAAATCCTTGATGATAGAACGCAAAAAATAATTTCAAAAAAAACTTCAAGTTTTGAATTATTACACTCTTACAAACTTTCTTCTAAATTATAAAAATCCGCAATAAATATTTCTGATGACCGGCTATTAACAATATTTTGCTCAAACTGCGCTCCACAGCAATTTTAATATCATATGACTTAAGGAAAATAGCCATGAAATGTAACATATATTATAAATACCCTTTACTGCGGTCTCCTCCTATGGATGAGTTGGTGGGCAAGGGCACGCCTCTCCTGAACCAGGAGATGGTGGGTGGTGGGTTGCCGCCTGTGACGCGACACGTGAGGCGAACCTTGTGGCCGGACTTGCCGATGTCTTTCTTGGACCAACCGCTCAGCGATATCGAGACCGGAGGGTCTGAGCGACATGGAAATAAAAATAAATGTTGAAATCCCACTAACGTATTAACCATTGCAAGAATAGTGAGTTTGCAGGAATGAAAATGTTGTAAAATACGGCATTTCGTTCACTTGTTAGCGTTTGTTGCTTTGGTACAGCATTTTAGTTTGAAAGAAAAAAATGTTTACTCATTGTTCAAAACTTTCAGCTTTAATTTCATTTTGTATATTATTTCGCAATTTAATCTTTTTCTTGTAACTAAAAATAACATTAAACTTGTAACTAAAATGAATTCTTGCTCATTAAATTTGAGCAAATCAAAAAACAATAATCTGAATATAAGGTTATATGAATAATATATAACTGTTAGTCCATGCCTACTGTCTAAATTATATTTTAAAAATTAATAAATATAAGTCCAGAAACGCAGAAGCAACCACTTTCTTTATTTTCAAACTCAAGATTGTATTCGAAACTTCCTGTCTGACGATGCAAGACAATGAATTTAAATGTTTCATACATTGATAAGATTAAGCAGTCTATGGATGAGAGCCGCTAAGTGCGATCTGCGCAACTCACTCCAGCCGGAGGGAGCAAAATATATAATATTGTGTTAGTTTAAATTTAGGGTAAGAATTAGGAATCATTGTAGGAATTTAGGGTAGAATTAGGAATCATTGTAGTAATTTAAGGTAATAATAAGGAATCATTGGATATACAAACACATTCCAGTAAAAATTTCGAGACGAATTGGACTATGCACAACATAACAATATTTTTTGCATGAATGCCCGTGATGTAACATGTTAGTGAAAAATTGAGTATTTAAATTAGTACAATCAAAATTCACGAGTTGCTGAATGAAAGCGTGTGTCCCAACTGCTTTCAGTTCGACTGATTGTGGAAGTTAAGTTTATGGTGTGACGAACTCTTCTCATGCCGTTACACCCGGTGAGCACATGACAGATGCACACCATCATTGGACTTTCATTATAAAATCGAATACAGTATTTGTATAGAAATTTCTTATCCAAGGTCAGTATATATAAAAAAAATAGAAAGCCTGAATGAATTTTAGGATTGTGTTCGCGGATCCTTTCATCCCTCGGAGACTATCCGTGAGCGTACGAATCCCGAGTGTCTTTCGATCCGCACTCAAATTATTGGAGAAGTTTAATTCAGTTTCACATACCACATCTTTTTCATAAAGATTTAAGTTTGATGCTCATTTTTTTATGTAAAATTACGTTCATTTCAAAATGGAAATTCGGAATTGTGGGTCGCAAGATCCATACAATAGACAGGTAACCTCTTATACGCCTTTTTGTATTCGACGGATTTATTTTGTTAGTCTCATTTTTCAGACGCGTTTTATGTTGAGCAACCTACTGCAGAATGGACAAGAATTTTTACGACACTTTTAATATGTAAAAAAATGCAAGTGATCCGGTAAATCTCAATAGAGTTTTTGATTTTCCTTAGTTCAAAAATCTAATTTCATCTGTCATAAACTAAGGATAAAATTCTAAATTCTCAGTTCAGAATTAAACGAGCATGAATTTTTAAATTGTTCGAACGGTTTAATAATAGAGACAATGAATTGTATTGTAAATTATACAAAATATTATTAGAGAGTAAAATAAGTTCTAGTATCACGATGTTGTGAGATCAAACAACGATTTCGACGATCACGCCGATAACCATAAAGACTATCGCACGCTCGTGTCTCGTATGTCTTGTAAGCACAAGAAAATTGCCTGTGCGTGGAGTCCGCCAGAACTGCGACGTAACTCTTCATAAATATGTACATCAATAACTAATTTTCTGGGCTAGATATTTTGTATCAAATCTTAAGTGGCGATAATATTGAAATAGAAATCGAACGTTGAGTTGCAATAAACAACCCTGGAATTAATTAGAATACACTATCGTTACTAAAAAATTCGTTACGCTAACTTTAGAGCAAGACATCGATTATTGCAACATTTCACTAGTTGATGCTGAACGATTTTGCTCCAATATGCTTTCATTTTCAATGATCCGGATTATCAATAGATCTTCTTTATGGACCTAATTTTTGCTTCCACATTTTTATTTCTGACACGCAGAATATAATACATTTTGGAACAAGATTGGAAATGTTCTGACATGGTGCAGGATCCTCCAGTAATGAGGCGAGCAATATTCCGGCGACTTTAATGCAACGTGGCACCGGATAGATTGGTTCTGCTCTGATCCCAATTGAGTTCTGCTGAGTTACGTCGACGACCAAAGTTTGAGTTGCGCCAAGAACATTTTAATTCTAGCCCCGTACTGAAACTGTCATCGCAATTCCCTGACGTGTGGCTCAGAGTAAGGCGAGCTATTAAGACTCTTCTTAAGTCCAAACGACACCGGTAACGCTTTCTCCAGCCCTCAATTACGAGAGTTGAGCTTCACTCCTAGACTCTCAATTCAGGCCGCCCCAAATATGGGATCAGCACGAACGGACGTCTGAACCAGCGGGGTTGATCGAAATACTTCTGGATTTCTTAAAGTGTTTCTCGGAAATACGTGGATCACTTCTAATCCCAGACTCTAGAGAAGTAATTCCAGGAACGAGTCAATTTTATGCGATAGATTCATTTTTGATCTACAATTCTATTCATATCAGAAATGGTCAATGTTTTCGACAGTTCATATCGAAAAGTGTCGTCAATTTGCATACTATGTAACAATTACGTATCACGACCATTTATATCATCTTATAAATACCTGATGATGTACAACTAAAAAAAAAGAGCCTTGTATTCCACTGCACGCTTAGTAACTTGTTGATATGTTGTACGTGCTTTGCTCGTGCTCTCGATAGAACGATATGTCGGTGTTTGCTAGCTATGAGGATATCCCTGTCAGGCCAGGACAGCATCATTTATCTTTACAAGGTCGGCAAGCAGAGACATCAGTCTCGCGAGACCGCGGCCATGTCTAGGCAATGTTTGCTAAGGGTATCGTCAGGTGCACTGCATCCAAGCCAGCAGGTGCAGCCAACCTGCATTATAGAGTTCGGTAAATGCACGTTCTGGAGTCTAACAAGTCACGCAATTCATCTTGCAAAGGTGCTACTCCGCATGCAAAATTTCAATCAGCCGTGCACAAATTTTCTCAATAAATTGATTCCTGTTTTAGTGTATAAATAATTACTTGGCTTTAGTAGTAAATGTGATTACAGGAAGCAAACTGAATCGTGGCCCCAACATATAACTATTTCACTCTACGTTTTAGAAATAACGTACTTTACTTATGTTAAGTAATAATTTCCTGAACTATTTGATCGAAGATTCGTACGTAATTATGCAGCTGATAATTTAAATTGTTATTTATTTTTTCTCATCTATGATCCGACTCGTATTAACGAAAAGTACATGTATCTGAAAAGTTATCCTTACGAATTCATTATAGCCTATTACTGCAAAACAAATAGACTATTTGCTCATTAATTCTCTAAAACTCCCATAGCCATTGACGTCACAAACATCAAAGGCCCATCAAACAAACGACATTAACTTTCAGTCTTTTCCAGTTTTGAAACTCCAAAAACTCGGCTGATTTTCGATGGAGTAGGAAATGGCTGCTAAATTTGAGGCTGAGCGAGGCGAGTTTCTGAAATTCTGATGCGGCTTTGATATTTGCGGGAAATCATTTAGTAATGCAGATGCCGCATGCAAGATGAGCTTTCAATTTATTCTCGACTGTCACGACCTTAATAATCTGCGCGCATACCATAACGCCGGGGAGCAAATGCTAGGAATTTGAAACTAGTTAGGCCTAGACGGGGGTGGTGTTCATCCTTGTGTAGAAATCGAGAAATGAATGAATCACACGCAATGAAATTATCACACGAAAATTTTATTATTTATGAAATAATGGAAATTATTTAATATGCAGATTGTAAAAGTTGCGTTAGTGTACAAGATGCGATGTTAATAATAAAATTGAAAAAGAAAACACCGCGAGATTATCGCGCATAATTAAGGAAAAAAATGTAATGCAACGAAAAAATACACCGAGATAAATCTAAAAATATGCTAGCGCGACAATTGAAATTACCAGACTTATCATTAAATTACAAGCACCATTAATAGTGTTCCTTGAGTAACACACAATATTGAGTACCAGGCTACACTCAGAAAATGAGTGAGTTTGTCGTAAAAGCTACCATCAACTGGGGTGACTTCGGCCAATGTTTATGATTTTGTTTAATGGCCATTTCTTTCTGTTGTAGTTGTGTTATGTTATTGGAACAAAATGGTATCCAATGTAGTTTTTCCTTATCTATCGATTGGAAACTGTCTTGTTACATTAATTTTATATCCTGCTTGACCAACACAATCTGAATGCCACAGTACTATAAAGAAAAAAAAAGCTGAATGCAAACTTCAATATTTTGAGATATAAAAAGAATTTTGGAACCAGATTTGTTTCACTTATTTTGGTATCTTGTATAATGATTATATCAATGACTATACGTTTTTTTACCAAATATTATATATATGCTTAAGTGGAGCGTCTGGCTAAAATTTTTTAATTTTGGCTTTTCCGGATTTTAGTCTCGTCTTAAAGCTGACATTCTGCTCTATCCAACGGTACCAAAATCATCTCTGTACGTTGATTTATGCGTTCCGACAGATCGCGAAAGGGTGGGGGGTGGTGGAGTTCTTTCACATTAAAGATAGGCGGAAATTGCCGGTAGCACATTTAAATAGCTAGTCCAAATACGATGTGCTTCAGTTATCCGCCTGCAGTTGTACGGGAGGGTTCGCGCGTGTCGTCGTTCACACCATCCTTGGCAGGAATTGAGTCTTGCTAATGGTGGTCAGTCTCGCCAGTCTTGCATTCTTGCCACCTTGAACGCTTATTTCGAGGCGCCCCGGACTTTGTCAAGCTCTACTGAACAATTAACTTATTGTCACTGCAAACCTATCTCCTCCTAGAGTTTTTGAGCTACAGCGATTGAGACACACACCATTCGATTTGCAATTAAAATATCTATCGATTTAGTTTGGCATTTTTTCAATTTCGTTATAGTTTTGAAAATATTTTGAAAATATTTCGATTATAGGGGAAAATCGAAAAATTCTCGAACATTTTGCGAAAAATGCTTCCCAATCCACAAAAATTCGAATTTCGAAAAACGCGAAAATTAATCGATAGATATGGTTTTTACGCATCGAATGATATGTGTCTCAATGTTCTAGCTTGAAAATCCTAGGAGGAGATAGATTTCTACAGTACCCCCTTTCTTGATCGTTTTCTAAGAATTTCACGTTTTCTTTCATTTCTTCGAAAAATGGACACGGATAATAGCTGTCTATTTTTCGGTCTTAAATGGTGTACCAAGTTTCAAAGTGATTCATCTGTAAACAGCCGACAAAAAAAAAGTTGCCAGACGCTCCACTTAAAAAATTAGCTGGCCAAAGTCACCCCATAGTACATCGGCTAAATGGGGTGACTTCGGCCAGCCAATAAATGTTTAGAATAATATATTTTTCTTCTTTTTTTTTCAGACAATATGCACAACTATAAACGTTAATTAGATTCTGTGCCATATAGGATATATTATGAGGAGTCGTTTAAGAAAGCATTGCAATTGATAAAAGATGGTGTTAGCTTAAGAGAAGCTGCAAATATTTGCGAAGTCCCTCGTTCAACTTTGAGCGACCGATGTGCTGGCCGTCATGTAAAAATTTTAGGACAGTCTACTCTTATACCTACAGAGGTGTTCAGATTTAGTATCCTACATTATTCTGCTTTAAGACTGGGAATTCCCATTACTGGCCATTAGACGGCATGGATCTGTGTTTTTTGGTTAAAAATTACCTTGACAAACAGGGTCGCACTTTACGTAAGTTCAAGGGTCGCACCTCTATCAAGCATCATTGGTTTTTTGAAGAATGCTCCAGATCCCATGGGGACTAGATTTTTCAAACTTTCACGTCCAGCTGCCATTGAAATCGACGGAAAGCTGCCCTAATGAAGCATATGAATCACAAATGTGAGTCCTTATCTTTGTGTTACAATTTTTATAATACACAGTGGCATTGATTATCATTTTTTAAAACACCCTACGTGGCCGATGTACCCCCGCTAATGGTTGAATTTGGCCACGAAATCATTTTTACTACGTTTTTACTGTTTTAACACATGTGGTCGAAGTCATCCCATCGCGGGGTGACATCGGCCAACCAGCCAACTTAGAAAAATATTAAATAATAAAAGTGACATAACTTAGAAATGACACATATAAAGAACATTTCAGTAATATATTTACGAATTTACAATCACCGGCAATGCCTCATTCCTATTTTGTAGGAATTTGATTGGCAGAAACTAGTCTAATTTGGCCAAAATCACCCCAGTTGACGGTACGCATTTTTTGCATTCTTATGAGTCATCCTGAACCAAGTTTGGTCCATCGAAAGCTCGCATCAATGATCTCTCTGCATGCTCATGCTGTGGGTAATTTATTGTGTCAATATTTGGACAACATGACCCATTCACTTCCCCGAGTGTACTCACGGAGGACGGAGAGAGTGACGGAGGCGACAAGGGCGGCAGTGGCGTCCTTGAGGGCGGGGTGGCCGCCCCTGCAGGAATATTGCTGACCATCGTCCTCGGCGCGCGCCGCCACCTTCAGGCGACTGACGAGGGTCACGAGACGACGGTGGCTGCCTTTCTCTTCGTGGTCCTCTTGCAGGCCTGAGGTTACAAGTGGCAAGTGACGTTACAAGTGGCAAGTAGCGTTGCAAGTGGCAAGTGGCGTTACAAGTGGCGAGTGACGTTACAAGTGGCAAGTGACTCAAGTGACGTTACAAGTGGCAAGTGACGGCACAAGTGGCAAGTGACGTCACAAGTGGCAAGTGACGTTACAAATGGCAAGTGACGTTACAAGTGGAAAGTGACATCACAAGTGGCAAGTGACGTTACAAGTGGCCAGTGGCGTTACAAGTGGCAAATGACGTTACAAGTGGCCAGTGGCGTTACAAGTGGCAAATGACGTTACAAGTGGCAAGTGACGTCACAAGTGGAAAGTGACGTTACAAGTGGCAAGTGACGTTACAAGTGGCAAGTGACGTTACAAGTGGCAAGTGACGTTACAAGTGGCAAGTGACGTTACAAGTGGCAAGTAAGGTCACAAGTGGCAAGTGACGTCACAAGTGGCAAGTGACGTCACAATTGGCAATTGACGTTACAAGTGGCAAGTGACGTCATAAGTGGCAAGTGACGTCACAAGTGGCAAGTGACGTCGCAAGTGGCAAGTGACGTCATAAGTGGCAAGTGACGTCACAAGCGGCAAGTGACGTCATAAGTGGCAAATAACGTCATAATTGTCAATGTGACGTCAGAAGTTTGGTGTGGCTAATAGAGGAGTTGATACCAAGATGAATTGCAACATTAAATGTCGTTTAATCATATTTATAGGAACAATAACCTATTATTCTTGTTGTCAATTAGAGTAACTCTATTTGTAAACTGAGAAAAATTTCAAGCAATAAATACATTTTCTTTATTTTTCGTGCAGCCAAAAATTGTACTCGCAATGACAGAAGCCGCAGGATGGAATATTTCCTAACTGTTGGCTGAGCTTGGTTACTGTTGGAAATTATAGGCGGCAGTAAAATTTGAGGAATTACTTTGGTAGTTGGCAATAAATTTTAGACACATTTTCAGTGCATATATGCTATATTTCTTTTAAATTATTCTGTAGGCTGGTCACCGATGTTAATGAAAAACGATGTTAATTCTCCTAATTTGAAAAATGCAAAAGTTAATTCTTGTGTGTTGCTATAATCAAGGCTAGCAACGCACCTAATTTATTTTGTTTAATTGTATAATATAATTCGAAATGATGGACTTCAGAATATGTATGATTATAATTTCGAAAAAGTTAATTTTCGTCACACGTCTATACCGATTAGATATAAACATATTCAATAATATGTACCTTATTTTCCTTTAAACCAAAAATAATTTTCTCGCTATTTTGAATAATTAACACGTTTCTAATAATTTGAGCATAGTTAAATGTATAATTAGAGTCGTAAATCATCACTGCAAGATCTAAGTAAGAAAGAATGCTAAAATTTCAGATTCTTGAGACGACAAAACTTCAAGTTCAAGTTGCGCAGTCCGGAAAAATGTTCTTAAGTAAACTTGTCCGCACTGAATGACGCTATTTCCTACTCAGAGAATTAACTGAACTGCATTGCTACAAACCTAATGATGAGATCGAAGCCATTTTCCGACCAGCTCTTATAGTCTCGCAAGTAAACTTTCCGGCTTAAAGTTCGCAAAGACGAAAGTTTCAGAAAAAAATTATTGTGGCATGTAGACGTGATTGCAAAATATCTGATAAAATGTCGGTAATGTTGTCAAGCTACGTAATATTACCAGAAGAAAATGACAGATATACAGAATTCCGAACAGTATTTTTGTGGTTTATGATCAATGAGATTTTCTTAAATTAATTATTAAAAATTATAATAAATAAATCCGAAAAATTGTCACGATATTTTGAAAAAGACTTTCAATGTTCCCCTTTTAAAACATTTTGGATTTAATTCTAACATGGTTCATCCACATAAGTATCAAATGGAACAACTTGTAATACATTCGTGTGTCATAAAAATCCCCATTTTCAGCCATCATCAATCGAGGCCAGAGACATTCTCAAAAAGGCTTTAAATTTCGGCAATGTCAGAAAAGATCCACGCGACACCAGAAAAATTGAACCAAATTGCTGATGTCGCTAGCACAGCCAATGCGTGTCAGGCGCAATTGCTCGGTGACCGAGTCCGATTTAATGAGACTGAAGCGCGCTGCATTGACGATTCGATGTAATTACGTTCTGCTAAGCCGAAGCGAGCGCGTTCGGTTAGATGAGGCGAGCGCTGAGCCAAATATGTTAGGACAGAGCAATTTATTTCTCAATTTGACGTGTCCATCACAAACCACCGCCTCCAACCCACGACATCAACGCCGTTTAGAGGATGTGACAGCAAGAATCAAGCACTTCGCTCAGTCTTCCGGAGCTGCAATCTAAATTTGAATATCTGACGTAGGTATTGTTGTTGGCAAGTGATTTTCGTGGATGTGGAGTTATGTATTAATTTATACACTTATAAAAACTGAATGAATTTCAAATTATTTTGAATTTCTTGCATATTTATTGCTCTGCTTGAGTTAGTTTCGTTTACGTTATGAACGGTGAAACGAATTGAGACAGTTTCCAAAAGCACTACATAAAGATCACGTGTGAGTTAATATAAAACATTTTATTTATTATGGAATTTCAATACTAGATGGTTGCTATACGATACAAAAACAATTTTCGCGGAGAATACATTCGAGACACTTCTACACTCGAGAATAATCATCACCTTGACGGTGATGATCGAAACTTTTTTCATATAGAAACTCATGGCTCGAACTGTTATAATATAGAACAATACGAAAGAAGAAAAGTTAGACTTGTCTCATCAAGAGGAATCTACATAGGAAAGTTGAGCAAACTTCCAGGAAGTTGTTCGAATATTCATGAGTAAGACTGAGTAAAAGTATTTAATTAACAATAACCATCGAATCTAATGGAAGCCACATAACACAAAATCAAAATTTGTGCTAAATGAGAAATGATACAATAGTTTTGTATAAGCAAATGTTAAAAAGTATAAAATAAGAATTCACTTTCAATTTTCCAACGTAAAATAAGTCTCTAAACTTATGTCGTTAAAATGTTATCAAAAGAGAATTGAATGAATTACATTGCTAATCAGCTTCTAATTTAATTCTTATGGCTCCGAAATACTCGCTACTGACTTGAGTTTAGGATCATAAGGCACTTAATTGAACTAATTACAATCACTCCATATAACTCGAGTTAATAAATATCAATAAATAATCACACCAATATCACTGTTTTTTTTCAATTTTACAGGTACACGACAGACCTGAGTACAAATGAATTGAAAATGTCACTAAGTTTATTCCAATCTTACAGCACAGTCATACGACTAACTTGTGTCTATCAGCATCGATAATATATCTAATTTCTCATCATTTCCGCAATACTAAAGACAATGTGACTAATTGTTTTCAATTCCTCAGACACACGACTGACTAGAGTCTATTTAAATTTAAAATTGTACTTCTTTCGTATCTGTTTCACAATCGCGAGACAGACTTTAGTCAATAAAAATAGAAAATTTCACCATAATTTCCAATTAATTCCACAGCCTCACTACTTAATTGAGTTTCAAAACATTGATAATGTCACTAAATTTCTTAACAATTCCTCAGCCACAATACTTACTTGAGACTATAAACATTTATATTGTATTATCATTGATATTTTTTCTCATAAATTTCCCAGGCTTCCGAATAGATTGAATCTATCAGCATCGATAATGCCATTAATTTCGCATCATACCTACAGTCATATGACCGACGTAAGTCAATAAGTCAATGAATATTGATAATTTCACTAATTTCTTTCCCTTCCATAGCTAAATAATGACTGATTTGAATCAATCAGATCGATAAATAATGTCACTAATTCAGTAAAATGATACATAATCTGACATATTTCTTATCAATTATACTGACTTGAATTAATAAGCAGGCCGTCGCGATACCACGTCACGGAAGGCTCAGGCCTCGCGTCGACCACGCGGCACTCGAGCGCTAGTGACGACCCTTGCACCAGCTCCACCACAGCATCGTCCCGCCACCCTGCGATGCTGATGCCGCTAGGGGGCACTGAACCAACAAACCGGGGGGCAGCGTTATTAATAGATTAATGTTTTAAAGAATATTTATCATTAACCATAGACGATGATTATTTTCCATTAGAGTATATGTTACATTTTTATCGTATTTTTCAAAATAAGTACTTGAATATGTATGCAAATAGAAATTGTAACTGAAATGCCTGGTGAAAATAATTGGTATATGAAATTATTACTATTTACGTTTTAAAGAATATTTATCATGATCAAATGACGATGATTATTTTTCATTGGACTATTATGTTACATTCGTATTGTATTTTTTTTAAAGAGGCACTTGAATATGTATGCAGATAGAAAATGTAACTCCAATGCCTGGTGAAAACAATTGGTATGGGAAATTATTACGATTAAAGTTTTAAAAAATATTTATCATGAACAAATGACGATGGATATTTTCCAATGGATTATATGTTACATTGGTATTGTATTTTTTTAAAAGAGGCACTGTAATGTGTGTGCAGATAGAAAATGTAACTGTAATGCTTGGTGAAAACAATTGGTATAGGAAATTATTACGATTAACGTTTTAAGGAATATATATCATGAACAAAATGACAATGATTATTTTTCAGTAGATTATATGTTACATTCTTATTGTATTTTTTTAAAAGAGGCACTGTAATGTGTGTGCAGATAGAAAATGTAACTGTAATGCTTGGTGAAAACAATTGGTATTGGAAATTATTACGATTAACGTTTTAATGAATATATATCATGAACAAATGACAATGATTATTTTTCAGTAGATTATATGTTACATTCGTATTGTATTTTTTAAAAGAGGCACTTTAGTATAAATGCAGATAGAAATTGTAAGTGCAATCCCTCGTGAAAACCATTGGGATAGGAAATTATTAACAGCTTGACTAAATATATATTTCTTTAAAAATAAAAATAGAATATACAAAAAGATATTTGATTCCGAATACATAAGAATATTATAATATAAAAAAATGAGCCGTTTGTGAGTAATTTTATTTCAGAAAGTTATTGTTAAATGAAATAAACATTTATAGTTAATGATTTTTGTAATAACCATCAATATTTCTAATGAAAGATATTAATCGCTAATAATGAAATTATACTACTCAAAAATAAAAATTAATAATAAAATATTGTGAATAAATGATAAAAATTTCGAAAAATTCTTTTATCAATATGTAATGAATTAAAATTTTTAATTCCATAACAATTATTCGTAGTATGAGCAGGTCTGTTTTTTTTTTTAAGCCTCCCAAACCTGCACTCATTCTTTACTTTGGTCCGGCTTTGCTGGCTCCCGGAAACTGTGATAAATCACAACCACTCTTCTACTCTAGCCCTTTATCTTTTGACTTATAGGATGGATATCTCGGTGCTACAAGAATTGTTACCGAAGAGTAATTCTATTAATAATGGTAATAAAAAATATAAATATAAAAATGTGAAGAAATATTGCTTTGTCAGGATATATTGCGTTAGCAAAATCTACTAAAATCCGTATCAGAAAAGAATGTCTTGGAAATAATTATACAGGTCTGTCATGATCAACTTCTTGTCAAATACTTCAAAATTAATCTATTAATTTCCAGTGAGAGTTAATGTACGAGTGGTTTTACAATGATTTTTAGGGTGAGAAAATTTTTTTTAATCGGTGTGAATTACATAATATTTAGTGATTCATAATAATCAATTACATTATATTATGTAATTCATAGAAGTCAAATAGAACTTATAATCAAGCTACCATACAGGCAACAATTTTTTTACAGTCTATTTGTCGTTGCTGTTCATAGAGAATTAAACATAATAGATGGTAACGTCTGGGTCACAGATAAATTCTTTGCTTTCAGTTTGAAAGAGAAATTTTCCAGCCTAACTATTCACACCTATGAA